TATCTTTTAAAAATAACACCAGAGTCTAAATAACTACTTTCCCCCTCAGTTACTCTCATCCGTCTCTAGTTCACGTAGAACAACTCTCCCTCCCAGTCAGCTTAAAGGTAATAATGATCCTTAACGCCTCTTGGGATTTTTTTCCAAATCATTTTTGTCCTTCCTGAGTTTCGCTGTTATCGTAATTGAGCATAAATTGGTTAAGAAGGAGCAGTGTAGTTGTCAAGCTCCTTAGTTTTATCAGATGACAAAGTTAAGTCCTGCTGATCCTATTAGAGGTAAAAGCAGCTAACGTGTAAATGCGCAGTGTCAGCTTAGGAGGGGACCAGGAGGGAGGGGGGATTCATGTGACAGTAAGATGCCTCTCTCTCTCTCTCTCTCTCTCTCTCTCTCTCTCTCTCACACACACACACACACACACACACACACACACGCACGCACACATGCACACTTTGTTATTTTTGCCCCCATAAAATCTAGAAAATTGGTGTTTCTAACTCTTTATGTTCTGATGGTAAAGAAACTTATTTTTTAAATCAAAGCCAAAACCACTTTTTGACTCAAGTAGGAACCAAATACATCAGAATCAGAGTCACACTTATCTAGAAATAAGGTTGTCTGGTTTCTAAAATTCACACTGATTCCGTTAAAGGAGTGAGCATCTCAGAATTGAATGCAACAGTTCACACAAAAAACTTGCTGGTCACTTACAGTAAAATACACTTGTGCAACATGAACTACATTTGGCCAAAAGGACTTTCGTCCACAGAGTGGCTGGGTATTCTCTGCATATATAGGTGGGCACCATGTGGTAGGGAGGGGAGAGTGGAGGGATACCGATACACAACAAATAGACAACAGACAACAAACACACAGGCACCAAAAACTGTGAGGTTTTCATTAAAAAAGAACGATGTACACCTATGTGTGTGTGTCAAAGCTGTGTTTGTGTGAATCGCTAAGTGTTTGTTTGTGCCTGTATGTAGATTTATCACCAAGAGTGTTGTTTTGTTTTTGTTTTTTAATGGTGTGTATATAGTGAAGGAGGGGCTGCTGCCCTGCAAAAGCCCAGGTCCCGCCAGCCCCAGAGTCCAGGGCCACGCATACTCCAGCGACCAAAGGACAGGCACAAGTCGGCCAGCCCAGAGGACAGACCCAAGCCCAGGGATGAAGAGGAGCCAGCCAGAGGATGTCAGGGGAATCCTAAGGCATTCCTGCCCAGGTGCCAGTTGAGAGGAGCCATCTGAGGTGGATCAGGCATTTCTTAAGGATAACTCCTCAGGCGTCCTCCTGGCAGGAGTTCCCTGGGTCAGCCAAGGACACGCAGGAGGGATTACCTCTCCTGGCTAGCCTGGGAATGTCTTGGGTGTCAGACCAGAGGAACTGATGGAGGTGGTTGCCCCACAACCTAGACATAAAAAGTGGTTTAAAGTCAGTAGGAGTTCTTAATGTTAAAATTATGTTCAATATGTTTCTTACTGAAAGGAAATCACCTTCTTGAGCACCCCCCCCCCCCCCCCACACACACACACACACACACCACAATCCTACTTGAAGTGCAGGATCTATAGGTTGCAGTCAGTCTGATTCAGACAGCATACGCAATTTTGATAATGGAATCAGACAGAAACTTTTTCAAAGCAGCTCATCTGCTGTTGGACTCAGATCCAGAGACAGGCAGTTGCTCTTAAGCTCATTTTTTATAATTGAATTACACTGCCCACCAGCAAGTAAGCCTTCACACTAACCCGTGGGAGCATGTGTAGTCTCATTTGTTGTTGATACTGATATAGTGACCATCTCACGAACGAAACACTTCAGTTATGTGGTTATATAACGTTGAATTCAGCAATATTTAAATTTTGACCTGTAGAAGCTACATGAGGTCATTTCAGTGTCTTTTATTGATTTTGTTTTTCAAAGCAACAAACTGTGTCTCTGTGGCTGTTTGCAGCTTTAACCCTCTCAGGCTCAAAATAAGTTTTGATAAAAGGACGAACAACTAAGTCCTTCAGGAGTACTTCTGAGTTTAAAATGCTCATGAAATACGTATGTGGGGAAGGTAGGTTTTAACTGTTGCAAATCTGCAATGCCTGCCTCCAGAGGGTTAACTAGATTCTATGCTAAGTAGATTTTTGATTGCACCATCCGTTGAGTTTGGGAACCTTTTTGTGTCTGAATAATATTTATATCCAAGTTTAATGGTTCAGTTTTCCTGGAACTGCCAGGCGCTAGACGGGAAAAATGGTGAAAGCAGCAAAAATATTAAAGAAAGTATTTGGAGGACTTTCAAAAAGTCTGAAAAAGCACCACTTTTGGGCTTGTTTGGAAGCAAAGTAAAAAGAAATCATAGGTAAAAAATATTTGATTGTATCAAACATCATCTCTGGCACAAATTGTGCTTTTAATGACTTGGAGGTAATTCCTTTTAGAACAGTCATCTAGTGACGAACTAATACTTAGAAGATGGAGCCTTCAAAGAAGAGCATCTTAAGTCAGATACCTAAATTGGCTCCGGCAAGGAGTTTCTGACTTGATGTGAACTGACTAAAATCTACTTAAACTTTACCAAGATAAACACTTTAGGTAAGACCAAACCATTTATTTACACACTGCTGCACATGCTGCCAGGTGCAGCAGCTGCACAAAGAGCTAAACTTGGATCGAGCATCAATGGAACGTTGGTCGTCTGTTTACACAAAGAAATATGAGCTCATGAATGCAGACTTAGAGGTCTGTAAAGCGTTTATTTGTCGCTTCTGCTCGAGGCTGCTGCACAGCCAGAAACACCAGAAGCATCTTACACTGGAGAAAGTGAGGGCTCAGATGGACCGGCTGAGGGTTCTCCGGCATCTACCTGCTCTGTCTCTTTAGGAACAGGTGAAAGCAACAGGTCATTGTTAATGCCTGCTGCCACTTTAGCAGATTAACTGTTTCTAAGTCTTAGTAGAAAGCGCACCTCAAGGAATTAGAGGCTCCTAGAAAAGCATCTCAGCACACTCCTCGACATATGGGTGAAGGGAGGCTTTGTCCTGTTGTCCATCTACGTTGGCGAGCACAAACCAGCGTGAGGAAAAGCAGACGGATATCGATTCTCCTCCACAGCAAAGGAAATGCATCACATATTTTTTTATATCCTTTTTAAATCCTTGCAGAAAATTGTGGCGCATCCTATTAGAGGCTTGAGAGAAACACAGAGCAGATTGAACAAATCGAGGCGGACCTTTGCTCTGACTGTACAATAATAAAAGAGGGAGGATCAAGCTGTGATTTGTGGTCCATCTCCTGGGAAACTGATAAACACCAGGCTTACACAGACTTATGTCAAATGACATCTTTAATTTAGTCTTGTGTCATGACAACAATCCTACAGAAGAGGCTTCTTTTTGCTAAATTGAAAATATATTGTAGAAGCATTTTTATGTTACAGAGGAAAATAAAATGTGATTGTATTCCTACTAAAAAGCAGCAGAGAGTTGTAGAGGCACTGGAACAAGCTAAATGTATGGAATATTAACAAAGATCTCCTCTTAATATCAAAAAAGCACGGGAATGTTCCGAACCTGCAGAAATGTCCCAGGAGGATGGTGGATAACACAAATCACTCATATAATCTCAGCATTAAAAGAAGGAAAGAACTTAATAAATGCTGACTTTCCTTTAGATTTTGTCTTGTAGGAGAAATTGAATTTGAATGAATTGAATCAAAATCTGCCATGTGGACAAATATCAGCAATTTGGTTTCTAGAAAATACAGATAAGTACCAAAGATGATCCTGGACCAGTGATGTCATTAGAGACCAGAATGATGCTCAAGTTCAGGAAAGGAAGCTGTGCAACACATTTAAAGCTCTACTGCATGCAAAGGTATGTCCGCCTAATTTTATCTAAGTCTCAATTAAGCTGCCCGCCAGTCTGAAGTTGCAAATGTGGTATTCTAGCCACAGAGGGTGGAGGGGTCTGAGTGACATTTCATCAACTTTGCAAAGGATCATTTTAACACATAATGGCTCAAGAAAATGATTTAAAAATATGAAAAAGTTGCGAAGTATGGCTTTAACCTAACTTGCCTGCTGGTGGTAGTCGGAGGAACCGGCGGCGCCAGTGCTCTGCAGCCTCACTTCTCTCAGCGTGCCTCAGGGCAGCTGTGGCTACACTGAAGCTCATCAACAGCAGGAGTGTGAATGGATGAATGAATAATTGTGTTGTAAAGCACCTTGGGGGTTTAAATAAATGCAAAAGACTTGATTCATCAGTAACACTGATACCTGCTTGCTTTTCTCTAAATTAAAGAATTTCCACTAACCTGTTATTTTAAATGTCAAATTTGGGTGTTTTGTTAAGGTTAGTGTTTCTCAGTCCTTTTTACGATATAGCAAAATAAATAAAGAGCACGTACATAAGGTTATCGATATTGTTATGCTTTTGTTAGGTTCAGGGGAAAACGTGTTTTAGTTCAAGATTTCTATAAGAAACTTCAATGTCATTATTTATAAATGATTTAATATTTAGATTATGATACATAAATAGCAACAAAACAAATAACAATGACTGACACTCAGACATTAGAAATGATCTCGATCAAATCTAACAAATCATAGAAGTTTGAACATTTTTACCAATATCTCGATGTTGTTTTATTTGTGATAATAAACTACATTCAGGGTCCCCACTCATAATAAATTATTTTAGGTGACTAACATCACATGTCTCTTATGACCAATAATTAAATTTTAATCATTCTAGGCAAGTCTGCACAAAAGATGACAGCCACTTCAATTTAAGGTGGTACCAAAGCAACAAAAATATTTAAAAAACCATGAATCAGCTCTTTCATAGTTTGACATTTTGAGTGAGAGGATAGAACCAGCGTGTGGAAAAAATATTTAAATACTAACACTGAGAAATGGCTGGAGGAACCTCCACACTTTGGTTAAAGTGAAACAAACTTTTAGGACTACCGGTATTTGTGCTAAAAAATAAAAAAAAACAATAAAAACTATATTTAACAGTATTTTGTTACTTATTGTGTTGCTTTCATCCCAAACAGGTTCTGACCCATTCAGTTCTGAACTCCTCTGAAGACATAAAGTTGCGTCCATCTTCGGGTCCTTGCACCAGGGTTTTGATCGGATTGGGGTTCCATGGTGAAATATTGAGAAGAAACAAATGAATCCAAGCGTAGGTCAAAAGTTTTTGTTCATTCGAGACTTTTTCTCTCCTTCAGACTGAGTCTCCACCTTTAAAGCCCCATAATCCATCTGTTTCAAAGATGGAGATGTTGCACAAAAGAAAAGTTTACAGACAAGCAAGTTCCTTAAAAGCTTTTAAAGTGTTTGGTTATATTTGTTCTTTAGCTTTCTGATCCCGTGTCTATTCCAGCAGATTTTCAGATTTGTGTTCTTTTTGTTTCTCGTAAACGTTTTTAGTCCCTATCAGTGCCTTGAACTCACTTCATCTTAGATAAATCAGTTCTTCTGAGAGGTTTTGTTGTCGTTTAAGTTTTATGAAAGACTCTTTGCACAGAAGCACAAGCTTTTATGGTCTAGTGTCACTAAGATCTCCTCCAGTGTTTGGATTTCTTGACATAAGGTTCCTTCAAGTAGTTGTCCACTGTTGAAAATTAAAATTAAGACACTTTAGGTATTTGCAAAAACACCTGTTAAGAATTTTCATCAAGTTCATTGTGTGAGCTTGTGTGCAAATGTGCTTAAACATAAACTTTCAGGTTCAGCTTCTAGCTTCGGACCTGAATCCTTCTGGGCGCTCTGTCGCTTGGCTCAGTCAACTCATTTCCTGTTCAAGTTTCTCCCTCAGTTTGGAGAATCCTGGTCTTCTGCGAGGGTCCTGCTCCCAGCAGAGTCTCATCAGGGAGTAAACATTAGGAGGACAGGACTCTGGCGACTCCATACGATAACCTTCTTCGACTTTCTCCTTCACCTCCTTCAGAGACTAAAGCAGAAAAACAACACAAGCTGTAAAACTGATAGTTTTATTCTTGCAAATGAGTCAAGTGTGGTGGGAACTTATGAACATTAGAGGTACAATTATTTTTAAAATCTTTGAAGATAATATTCTGTTTTAAACACTACACTGACTGCATTCAGACTAACCGTTAGCCTATCAGTCAGTCAGTGGGAAATAAAGTCTATTTCTTTAAAAGACAAAAACTAGATTATATTATATTTACATTTTAAAAAAAAAGTAGAGTCATTCCGTGAGTGTTTTATAACTTTATGCAGAAAATCCATCTCTGAACATGCACGTTTACAGTTTGCATAAACTTGATCCGTTTGCAAATCCGTGTCCCGAGTTTCACCCAAAACACCCAATCAGCCAGTCTTGATGAAGACATTTGCTCTCTGCCAACTGGTAACACTTTAAGTTCTAAAGTTTAATTGGGGAGAATATTAGCTTGACCCAAATAAATTAACTGTGCATGTGTGTGACATGCAGTAGTTAATAGATAATCATCTGCATTTAAAATGAGAGCGGATGAAGTTAGGAGCAAGCAAACGTAACATGAGGTCATGTGTTATTGGCTGTCGGATGAATTAATTAATGCAGCCTTATCTCACTGGTCCTGATCCAGCTGGTTGGAGATACCTCTAATGATCAGGAAAACACAGATTACCTGGGACAAACAGGTCAGCGTTTAAGCAGCTCCCCAGCTGTTAGAACAACGTGATCAAGATCTCATCTGAATTAAACCTCCTCTAACTCTGTTTGATCTGACAGAGAATGGCTGTCCACCATCTTTTCTCAGGACAACATGCTCTGTACTAACTCAAATTAGAATCAACAATTTATCAGATGTTCTGTCATTTTTTAAAATTAAGCCAAAGTACAAAAGCAAAGTATAAAAAACTGCAAAAAAGGTTCTATCAATTACAGAAAAGATCTTAAAGAGCAAGTCACCCCCTACCAGAGTATTACTCAACTCCCACTTCCTGTTTGAAAAATGCAACAAATGCTGTTGCCTAGCAGACAGAGAGGGCGGAGCCGCTAACAAATACATACATACACAGGCTCACAATGACATTGTGACATCATATGGTACCAGCTAAAGTTCTAGGGTACCTCTTAGCCAATAGCGGTGGCAGATTTAAAGAGCAAGTCAACCCCTACCAGAGTCTAACTCCACTCCCACTTCATGTTTGAAAAATGCAACAAATGCTGTTGCCTGGCAGACCGAGAGGGCGGAGCTGCTAACAAATACACACACACAGGCTCACAGCATTGTGACATCATAATGAACCAGTTTACATCATAGCATACCTCTTAGCCAATAGCGGTGGCAGATTTAAATTAGAATACAGTGCAGAGTTTTTACCTGACAACGGCGCAACACTGCCAGTTTTAGGCAGAAGATTTAAATTTTAACTAAGATGCACTGAAGTGCCAAATTATTGACGACACGTGTCTGCAGCACGATTAGACACTCGTTTATTTAGTTTATCAGCAAAAAAAAGTTTATTTGGGGGTGACTTGCTCTTTAAAAATACCCTCCTGCATCTAATCAAAAGAACCATTCTAACACAATAGGTCCTAACGACATCAACGACCCCCTCTTCATTTGAACCCTTTTGCATGATCAAGACCTGGATAACTGAGAACCTTCACCAGCATCTTAAAAGTCTCTCACTTTGCAAGAATGAACAAAACATACAAGTTATTACTTTTATGCTTTAATTGCTAGGGAGGATTAAATTGTGGTTTTATTCTCAGCACGCAGCTCCTGTGTACAGGATCTTTGTTAAAAGGGTTGGCGTAATAAACAAATGCTTCAGCCAATACCTTTTGATAAGCCTTGTTTCGTGCTTCTTGCTTTGTGGTAATCTTTATTCTGTAGTCATTGAGATAATTGAATGCTAATTAATAAAAAAAATCAAATCAAATCTAAATTTAGAGATATGCATAATGTTCATTAGTAACCTGAGATGGTGATTTAATTTTTTATGTTTTAACTGTAGCTTCAGATTTTTGACACAGCAGAGAGGAGGAAATGAAGTGTTGGAATAAAACTTCCAACACACTCATTTTATTCATGAACTACTATATGATTACTGTCATTATGATAAACTGCCTGTATTTGTATAGTGCCTGCTTAGGGTTATACAACCCCCCAAGGCGCTGCACAACACAGTCATTCACCCATTCACACACTGATGGTGATGAGCTGCAATGTAGCCACAGCCCCTGGGGTGCACTGAAAGAGGGGAGGCCTGTCGAACACTGGTGCCACCGGTCCCTCCGACCACCACCAGCAGGTACGGCAGGTTAAGTGTCTTGCCCAAGGACACAACAGCAGCATTCTCTGGCCGGAGTCAGGATCGAACCTGCAACCCTCCGATTTTGGATAACCCGCTCTACCTCCTGAGCGACTGCTGTCCCTACCACGCAGACAAAGCTCTCAGCTAAACCAAAGTTTTGTCAGATACTTACATGATTTCAACAAGCCAAGATTTTACTGGAGGAGAATCATTTTACAATTTTAACAAACAACATCAATAAAACACATAAGAGCTTTTGCTAAAATTATTAAACGAGAAACTGTTTTCAGTGTGTGAATGTGTGTGTGCATGGGTGAATGACTTGCTGTGTTGTAGAGTGCCTTGGGGGGTTTAGAACCCTAGAAGGCCATTTACTAACTTGCTTGTTTAGCAGCTATGAACTTTACTTATGAATTAAACTATTTATTTAATTTTCAAAGTGACATTTTCGTGAAGTATGAGAAAGCATAAATGAGTGTTATTGAATGTTCAGTAGCATTCCTCCTGGGACACTAAAAAACAGCTGCTGTACGCACCATCTTAGGGTACGGCTGGCGACCGTAGGTGAAGATCTCCCACAGAAGAATGCCATAGCTCCACACGTCAGACTTTGTGGAGAATTTCTGCAGGGTGGCAAAAAATATAAGTTTAAAGCTGAGGTAAAAAATAGGATTTAAAAAACACTAGAAAAACATCTCAAATACAAAACAAACAAAATTAAATTATTTGTGGTAATCAGGTCTGACCTCGGATCTGATGAAAATGGGTTTAAAGATGTAAACAAAGAGAAAGAACTTTTGAGAACAAGTCACACAAGAAATACATAACACATCAGAGAATTTCTGTTTGAAAGAAAGAAAAATACAAAATTCCCTACAAATGATAAAATAAGAATAATAATGATATTTAAATTCTTGGCTTCTGGGCGTCAGTTCCACTTGTTTTTTTCTGATTAGGCTCCTTTATTTATTTATAAGGTGTTTTTTTTATCTGGAAGCCTGTCAGTGGCAACCTTGGAAATTAAAATCCCAAAGTAAACATCTGTTTTACTCAAACAAGCAAAACCAAATGATACTATTTTTAGTGTTTGTAATGTTTCACTTTCTTAAAGGTGTGGAACATTTGTTTAATCAATACATTTGCAGTCATCGCTAGTAGGAATGAATGCCTTGCAAGTCGAAACCACTGATGTACCATTTGATCCACATCAAAGGCCCAGTCCCAACACTCGCCCTGAGCACGGCGGTCTTCAGCAAAGTGCACTTGGAGAAAGTGTGCAGTAAGGCTTTGAGTGCGTGGTACGCAAGTGTGCAAGTAATTGCCAAATTGAGACAAGGGGCATTGCGTCATCGACCGCAGCGCATGCTGAAATGCTGGTTGCTGTAATACTTTAAAAAAACTTTATTAGCAACTTTCAAACTAACAATCAAACAATTATTTGAAATAAATTAACATTTGTTGCTGCTTTGTCTAAATGTTGTAGAGCATTAACTAATCATCCTAAAATTTTTACTTTCATTAGGAAATACATATGTTCAGAGAGAAACATTTCTCTTGCAGCAATGGATTGTGGATAATACACTTCACCCAAGTCCGCATTGATGAAGACTTGGGTGAAGTGCGGATCAAGGGCGCGAAAGGGGCGTGATCAACTCCCGCACTAGAGAATCTGGACACCCTACGCACTCGCTGCCCTGGGGCCTCATTTACCAAGCTTGCTTACACACAAAATGGGGTCGGAAAACTGCGTAAGCAACTTTCCACGCAAACTTTGGGAATCATGAAAGAAAACTTAGCAGAAAAATGTGTGCAACTTTAAGTTGACTAAGGACCTGGCTTATGCACATTTTGGACATGGAGAGCACCTGCAGTGCTTCTGCTGAGAAGGATAAAATTATGAAATCCTGCAGTATTATCACTTGTACTGCTTTGTTTTCACACAGAACAAGACTGCCTACACGCACACACACGCGTGCACGCACACACACATGAGCGCACACTCACACACACACACAGCCTGAAGCGCAGAATACGGAATGCAGAATGTCAGCAGGGGTTACAGATTGAGACAGAATGTCCTGCATCTGTGACAGTGTGTGTCCTGTCACTGTGACCCGATTGATCATGCGCCTTGGCTACTTGTACAGGGTAGATATCTGTTTGGGTGACTGGTTAGCGCACGTGACTTACACCCGGGAGTCTGGGGATTGAATCCTGATTGGACCATTTTTTTATATCCGCCACAGATCTCTCTGAAGATTTCACAACATTGACGGCTTCAGCAACGCTGTGCCACTCCGTGAATTTTCTCTTATTTGTTTTGCAAAAGCACTTCCTTTCATTTCTCCACCTCACCCACAGGTACCTCAACTTCTGCTTCTGTGAAATTGTGCTTCCTTGATCTGCCTTGATCTGCGGTCGCCATGTCATTGGCGGAGCGCTGCAACAGCCGGCTTATGTATATACATGAGATCCACAAGGCACTTTGCATTCACTATTTATGGTAGTAAGTGGGCGTGGTGAGGGCGGGATGCGACTAAAATGCAGCTGAGAAACATTCTTGTTAGTCTCCGATTTATGAAGCGGAGATTGTGTGCAGCTGTGCGTACTCCATGTTTGACAGATCACAAACCTACTTGGCGTAAGTACATTTTTTTTGCTGAGCTTAAGTACGGTTTTAGTAAGTATTCTACCCAATGTTTGATCAATGAGACCCCTGGTCGGATCGCGCAATTGAAGGGAGTAAGTTTAGAAGTGTGAGTATTGGGATGGGGCCACAGCTGAGCTTCAGACGGCAGGATTTGGAGTCTTGTTCCTTGATTTTTGGACATCTCACCTCTGATTGGATAACAGCAACGTAACTCTACCACTGACTTGCAATGTGGATGTTTTATCTCCACAAATACCACAAGCATGGAGGAGATTCTGTCGTGTGGTGAAGTCGCTAATGCTAACAGTTAGCTTCTACTAGTCGAGTCTTTCTCTGCTGTTTCCTGAACGCTAAACCAACAACAGCCTTCCCCTGTGAGCAAAGATGAATGAGTTTGTAAATGTTAAGTAACAGTGTGACGTAGATCTGTCAGGCTTTTTAAATCTTAAAGTTTCACCATCTGTTTTCTATCAGAAGCTAATGCAGATAACAGGTGTAGGAGACTATTTTCATGGTCAGCCTGCATGAAAAACTCAGAGTGACAGATTAAAATCAGAAATAAAGTTCCACATTTTAAAATGTAGAACATTTTTAATAGAAGAACTTCCTTTTCCTAAACACACCTCTTTCTTTAGTGACTCTGGGGCGGTCCATTTAACCGGCAGCTTGGCTTTGTCCGGCTCCTTGGAGTCTACTTTGGTGAGACCGAAGTCGCTGACTTTGGCTACGCTGTCGTCAGAAACCAGGACATTACGGGCTGCCAGGTCTCTGTGGACCAGCTTCTTTGACTCCAAGTACTCCATCCCCTCACACACGTTCCTGAGCAGACATGAAGACCAAGAATCAAACTATACATCATAAAATAAACATGCAAAAATCATCATGTAAAACAGCATTAATGGAACGTCCAGACTCACAGAGCAAAGTGAAGCAGCTGAACAGAGTTTATAACTGAACGCCCCCTAGTTCTGAGAAAATTACCCAGGTTTCCCTGCAACACATTGACATGCTTGTTACAAACAAAAGTATTTATGTAATGTTTCCTATAGATAAAATACGAAACGTGTTGAAAACTTATAACATTTTATTCACTTGGATAGAAATATTCGAAGTGAGGCTGAATTTTAGCACCACCAAGTGGCAGAAAGTCATTCTGCAACTTAGTTTATTCTTTTTTTTTAATTGATAATCAGGCAATAAAACAAATCAGTGTTATTATAAAACCAAAACATATTTCCTTACAGGCTGCTTCTTTATTTTCCTTGCAGATGTAACTCTCATGACCAAGTATTTTAAATAAATCAACAATTTTTCTAAGTCAGGTGCAAAAATTACAAGATTTAATAGTTTTTTATAGGACATTTCCTGATAATAAACCACTCATCAGCATCTCATTTTGACAGGTTTAAATAAGCGCAGAATGTGATTTTTACCTCCTTGTCTCATTCTTTTCTTTCCGTCATGCTCTGAGTAACTTCCATTTATAATGTTAACTCCATCATGTCACTTATATCCTGCCTTGACATGATCCAGTAATGTAGGTATGTGTGCTGTACTCTATAAAGCACTGATACTAACCTTGGTCATCAGCTCTGTGATGATGTGGAGCCCTTTGTGTAGGATGACGCCCAACAATCGCACCAAGTTTTTATGTTGCAGCTTCCTGGAAGATGATCACACGTTTCTGTTGTAATTCAAGCACACTAACTGGTCGTGTGTTTTTGGGAGTTATTCAGATTCTAGGTCATTTCTGGACTCACGTCATAACTGTGGTCTCCTGCAAGAAGGACTGGGCCGTCACATCGCATTTAATGATCTTCACTGCCACCTTCTGGCCCATGTACTCTCCTCGATAAACAGCTGGGGAGCACAAATATCGTCAAAATTCTGCCTTTGGGTGTAGAGACTGAATTATTCTTCAGTAAAAAAAAAAGTGCACCCCAGACAAAAACAAATGCTATTATATTAAAGGGATATTTGGCCTTTTGGAGTGTGTTTAAAGTTTAAACAGTTACAGCCTTACTCATTATAGATGGCTTCCTGAGTTTCCTCAGTAGATAAGAGTTCATGCCCTGATAAGACTGATAAGCTAACAGCTAGACTGAGTGCTGCCAAGGCCAAAATGTCCCAACGGTTATATTTTATAGTTTTATTCAGTAACTGAGATCACACTCCAGAAATAGTACAACTTTATGAAAAGTCTGACTCATAAAGACGTATTACTTGAGAAGGATGATGTCATTTTAAAATGCCACCTTCTTTTTTGGGTCATCATCAGTCACTCTGTTTCATGCAGGCCGAACATGAAAATAGTCTCCTACACCTATCTCCTGCATTAGCTTCTGATAGAGAATGGATGGTGAAACTCTAGAATTTGAAAAGCCTGATAGGTCTACATCACACTGTCACTTAACATTCATGGACTCACCCATCTTGACTCACGACGGGGAAGGCTGTTGTTATTTTAATGTCTGGGAATCGGCAGAGGATGTCTCAGCTAGTTTAAGCTAACTGTTAGCATTAGCAACACCACCACACAGCAAAAGCACCTCAAGGCTTGTGTTATTTGTGGAGATGAAACATCCACGTTGCAAGTCAGTGGTAGTCACATTGCTGTTATCCATTCCGAGGTGAGATGTCCAAATATCAGAAAATAACACACCAAAACCTGCTCAGCTGTAATGCGGGCGAGTTTTAGGTCTGAGAAATGGTGCACCAGTGTATTTCTTCCCCCGAGAACATTTTACAAGGCATTCATTCCTACTACACACTATAGCAAATGTATTGATTAAATGAATGAACCACACCTTGAATGTTTAAAAATTGTGCAAAAGCTGTGTAATCTTTCAATCAGTCAATTTGAACCCACTCAGCTTTTCCCGGCAGCATGAGTTTTGTCCACAGATGGGTAAACTTTTATAAGAGTAAGAAAAAACTAACAAAATGAGAAGCTCACCACCAAACTCTCCTTCTCCAATCTGTTCCCCCAGAGTGAGCTTTGTGATGTCCAGCAGCCACCCTGCTGCAGAAAACAAATACATAATCACATTTACTGCCGGTGTCCTGTATTGTAACTTTAGTCCAGCCAGAGACACTCAACTTACTTTTAGACAATTCCAACTCAGCTGATTTGGTTCCTTGTTTCTTTTTGGGTTTCGTAAGAGTTGTAACGATGGATTCTTTGCACCTTGAGTAGAACTGTAAAGAACAAAATGTGTAAAATAAATAAATAAATAAAGGTTTAACAGGCAAATAACTTCTTTATGGTGGATTTAAATTTACATAATGTTCAAGGAATTCCAGAGATGTCAGTGTGACCATTATAGAAATTCACTTCAACTAAACTGCATCAGCTTACCAAGAGCTCATTAATTATGACACATTTATATCACATTTATATCACATTTATATGCACCATTGACAATAAGGGATATTGTGTGGCTTTGTTTGATGACTTGGCTAAAACCTTTGACTCTGTGTAGACCATAACATCTTACTTAGCAGGCTCAAACATAAAGGACTTTCTCAGACATCCGTGGCATGGTTCAGAAGTTATATCTTAGGCTGTACACAAACAGTGAGAACAGAGGGTCACCAATCTGCTCCTTTATCTATGGACATTCCTCAAGGGTCCATACTGGGCCCAACCTTATTCAGAATCCATATTCATAACATTGTTCATGCTGTTGACAGTTCTCATATACATTTATATGCAGACGACACCATTTTATATGCATGCAGTTCTTCACTGAACACAGCTTTGTCCTCTTTGCAGCACAACTTTAATCATCTTCAGCACGCCTTCTCCAACCTTCATCTTCATTTAAACACAAGTAAAACAAAGATCATGATCTTCAACCATAATTTATCAACTTTCCACCCTAGTATTGTTTCCCTGGATGGTACAGAACTACAACAGTCAGTTCTAATACGTATTTGGGTATCTGGCTTTTCAGCACTCTTTCATTTGACATTCACATTAATTCATTACTTTCTAAAGTCAAGTCAAAAATTGGGTTTCTATAGTGCAACAGGTCATCCTTTACTCGTTCTGCAAAGCAAACCTTGGTCAAAATGACAATCCTTCCCATCTTAGATTACGGTGACATCGTTAATAGGACTGCTTCCAAAAATCTTCTTCATAAACTCAATGTCATTTATCACTCCACTATCTGTTTCATCACTGGTGCCCATTTCACTACTCATCATTGTGATCTGTTCTCACTCGTTAACTGGCCAGCACTCCATTCCTGCAGGTTGTTACATTGGTATCAGTTCATACATAAAACAATCATCGGTAGAACCCGTCTTATCTTTGCTCATTGCTCATCACTTCCAACAACCAGCACAATTTACGTTCCAGTAACTTCATCTCTATGGTTATTCCCAAAGCTTGCACCTCCTTTGGCCGCTCCTCGTTCAAGTTTACTACTCCCAATGACCAGTGGCGGTTTTACCATTAGGCATAGGTCGGCGACCGCCTGGGGCCCCCTTGTGTTGGGGGGCCCCCTAGCCCTGACCGCCGGCACCCCTCTGTTAATGCCACAATATTCGACGGGATTGGACATGCGCAATTCTCATTACCATAAGTCCTGAACCGTTCAAGATATCTGTAAACTTCCAAAATTACTGAAAAGATTAAAAATGGGGCTTTTTCGTGCATATACAACACATTATGGTAGCCACCGGGATTCCCTGTCTTGAGCGCAACAAATCACAACACTGATTCAGAGACATAATGAGTTTGTCATCCAAAATACTCCTTTTAATAACTTTTGAATGGCTGATCAGATTCAAAAAATTCTTACGGTTCGTGAAAGTACACAAAAACAGCTTTCCAATGATCTATAGCATGAAGCAATCAGAGTTACGGAAATCCTGCTGTACAGCCTGATTGAAACGGAGCACAGCGGAGCGCAGCGCCACGGTGAAAGTGGATAACGGAACGGGGAAGCTAATAAGCATAAAAAGCCAGCATGAAATTATGGAAATGCCTCAAAGAAAATCAACACGATCTATTAGGTGTCCCAGAAGGCCTATATCTGAAGACAGGGACCACAAAGAAGGACAGATCTCCGGTGAACCAGGATATGAATGTTTGTTCAGTCTTTATTTATTTTTTTTATTTGAACAACCCTCAGCTATTTGCTAATTGTAAAATTCAGCTTCATTCCAGCATTATTTATCTTTTTACAATAAATAATTATTTTTGCTAAAACAAGTTTTTGGTATAGCAGTGCACGGTGCGCCAGAGAAGCACCCCATGGCAGTGTGAGGTGTGCAGAGTGGGATTCTGCCTGCAGCTGGAGCGAAACTGCTTCAAGGTCTACCACGTCAAATAAAAACGTCTGAAAGTTTACACAAATAAATGGTCTTAAAACTGCTAAAAAAGATACCATGGTTCACACTTTTTTAAGAATAGATGCATTACAGTTCAATGTTCAGTAATTAATGTAAAAAATTCAAATCCTTTTTTTGCTTTTTTCACTTTTAAGCTGATTTTTTAAAGGCTTTAATAGAAATAAATTCTAAATACAAACCATACACTGAAAGCTGAGGTTGTTCTGAAAAAAGGAGCGTTACACACACTTAGCACTTTTTATTACAATTTTACAGTCATAACATAAAAAAACCAGGCGGCCCTGTTATATTTATGGTCATAAGAGGGTTATTAAGACGGCGATGCACAAACAGGAAAAGATTGGTTGTCATTCCACTCCAATCCAGTTAGTGGCGGTAATGCACCAAATTGTTGTTTGCCAAGTGCCATAAGACCTCAAAAAAGAAGAAGAAGAGAGGTGGGAGCATTCGTAACAAACTCAAAGCGATAGTCAAAACATTAAGCATGAAATGGAGTTATCCTGGTGGCTCCAATAAGAGAAAGAAGCAGCTTGCTTTAAAAAAGCTTTCATTTTCACTTCTGAAAGTGACGTCGTTTTTCGATGTAAACATCAAAGGAAGCAGAAAAGGAAAGACAATGGAAAATGTTTAAAGGGAGGAAACCATGGACCAAAATGGAAAATAGAAAAAACAAAAAACAAAGGCAAAATTACAGGAGCACTGACAGGAAAACGAAAGCAGAGCAAACATTGAAAGCGCTCAAAGGGAGAATAACTCATGTCAGAAGAGAGGAAAGTTTAGCAAATCCAGTTAAAGGTAAGATTGTCGAAAATGTTGTGTAAGGGGCCCCATGTCTGTGTTTGCCTTGGGCCCCCAAATTGCTAAATCCACCACTGCCAACAACTGGAATGAGCTGCAAAAATCATTAAAGCTCACTACCTACATTCCATTATCTACCTCTAACTATTCCTTACAATCAATAGCTTCTGATCAATGTGCCTGCTTCTGAGTGCCTGAAGGTTGGTTTAAGTCTGTTTTGATTGCTTGTACACATTATATATGAGAACAGTGTGCTGTCTTCATGGCTAACAGATTTATCTTATTTTTATCTTGGATGTTTTTATCTCTTTTTCTTTGATGTAAAGCTAACTATGTGTCTGTTGCTGCTGCCTCTTGGTCAGATCGTCGTCGTAAATAGGAATGAGTTCTCAATCACCTCTCCTGGTTAAATAAAAGTTAAATAAATAGAATAAAAATAAATAGCTGGTTCTCACAGTCAGCTGTCCTCCTACATTTCCCTGTTGCAGAAATAAGTGAGCTGGAAACTCCATGACTCAGGGATGGATATGGCTGTTCTTCACAGATAAACTAAGGATGAGTCAGTTGCCATTTTTGAGACTATCTGCAAACGTCACTGCAACAAAACTCTCCATGCATCCTCGAACTTACACAGATAAACCATGAAAGAGCAGAAATGTCTGTTTCTATTTTAAATGTGTTTGTTTCCTGTGCTGTCATTTACACCTTTGGTACAAATAGAGCAGATGTGAGAGCTCGCCTGCTTGTGATGATTTTACACTGAAACCAACAAAAGACAATACTATGAAATAGGTGATGATCAGATAATTCTAACCCATGGCATTTTAATAAAATGTCTCTAAACTCCCATAAGGTTTAGATTGTGGTTTCATTTGACCTCAGATTAGTTTTGGGGTCATTCCTCTTACTTCTATCATATCGATGAGGTTGTAGAAATACTGTTTGAGGTTAATGGTCAGCTTGTTGTTCTGATAAATCACTCGGTAATGGATGACCTCTCCGGAGAAGCTCACACACAGGACGTAGTCCCCCGGGTGGCGGATGCTCTCCCGCACCAGGAACAGGCCGTCCTCAGCCGGCTGCAGCTTACTCACCGCCTCTGGGCCGGAGATTTTTCCATGAAACCAGCTGATGAAATACACATCAAAAGAGGTTAACGCACAAAAACACACATTAAAGAAAATCCTTCCTCATAAAGAGGAGAAAACAGAAAATAAAGCACAACATGACACATGAGAGGAAAAAAATTACAAAACCAAACAAAAGATTACATTTATTTATTCATTTCTTCTGAAAATTGCTGGTAAAATTGCTAAACAAATGCTGATGTGTGGTGAGACAATGTTGTGCTTAAAAATAGGAAAAGTAGTAAGAATGACATTTAATGTTAAACAAAATCATATTTTGCTAAAATATTTGTAAAAAAGGAAATGCAGCAATTTAAAGCTTGGCAAAATTTTCTAAATAAATCCAATTAGATCACCCAAACTACAAACCGATAAATGTGTTCCACTTTTTTATAATTTTCTGTATGTGCTAATGAAATATCAACAGACCCTCACCACCCATGTGGCCAGAAAACCACCTTTGCAACTTCAGAGTGCCAGACCCGGCACCTGTTAGACTTAGGCAAAAAATAGAGCTGACATATCTGGCACTGTGGTCTGGTTCCTGGATGTAAAATATTAGATCATGAGCACCGCTGATTTGTTTAATTTAGTGATGAACCGCTCCTGGAGACACTAAGGAAGGCTGGGAGACATTTCAGCTTTCAGATTAAGCTGGTAAAAATACAAACGCACACCCAGGAGATTCGTTTTGCTTTTGGTTCTACTAAACTGACACTAGGGGGTGCTACAAAGCAAGCCAAACCTGCCTAATCTCCATTTAAAATAACATGATGTTGAAGCAGAAGGAATATCTTTCTGCTATCTGACCAACTCCCAGCAAAAAGAAAAATAAGTAAAAATGCAACTAAATCCCCAAATTCTGCCTTATTATGTTTTTAAAAAATCATATTCATAAGTATTTTGGTCAATACTAAAATTACAATTATTTAACACAACACTTAATGAGTTGGGAAATTATTTTAAGGAGACTGCAGACACTAAAATACATCAGCAAGTGAGCACATTGAGCTGTTTAATGTTTAGGAAGGTAGAAATTAGGAGACAAACTACTTCATTAGTCTAAAATAATTAGATCTGTTTAGGAAAATAATCAAGAGTCTAGAGACCAAATAATTAAATGTTTTTTCTACCTGGATCGATCGAAACATGAAAAGACAGAGCTGCTATAAAAGCATAGAAAAGCTGCGACCAAAGTCTGTGTTCAAACAGGAAGTAAACAATTGTGTGTGTGTGTGTGTGTGTGTGTGTGTTGGGGGGGGGGGGGCTAATTTAGCAGCATCAACGCTTCAGAGTAACACTGGATGGCAGTCGTGAATGAGATAAATGGAGGTGTATTTTTTACCACCTGTGGGGCTTCAGCCTTATAACGACTGCCCAAAACATCACCACAAGACCACGAGACAAATAGCAGTCCCAGAAATGTTTTTTATTTGTTTGGAGCAAAAATCCAAAATGAACCTCAAATAATTGCACAACCCCTAAAACGCTGAGGAGTTTAGAGCACAGTGTTTGTACCACGAGCACCAGCCCACACGGTTTAATCACAAGATCTGTCATAACGGTGGAGCAGAGCTACAGGGGATTCTCCAGGCGTCAGTCATGTGATCTGTGTCAAAACAGGAGAAGTGAGTTTAGGAGAGGCTCAGAGAAGAACACTTACGGCATGAGGCTAAGGCTGGGGTCCACTCGGAGTGCCTCTCTTTCCCGTAAATTACTGGAGTTTATTAATCCCTCCGCTCCGGTCGTGTTGTGTCTGGCTGTGTAAAAACATTTCCTCTAAAAAGCAGAAATGTTCTCTCATTTAAACACATTCATCTAGAGAATGTAAACGAAGCACAGTCTAGATCTACCGCTTTAAAAATAATGATGGTGGTGAGAATACCATGCTTGCATCAACAATAGTCAGAACGTCTCCCTTGTGGTACAACAGCTCCCCTGGTTTTGGTTTCCTGTTGTCACACTTGGCCACACACTGAACACCAGCAGCCCAATTCATCTGTGCAGAGGAGGGACAGTCAAACTTTCATCTTTCAACACATGGCTCACACATTGACTCACATTTCACATTCATAGAAATAGCACAGCATCGCATAGAAATAACACATAGCTTTCCCAGTTTGTTACATGAAACAACTATTTGTATTAAAGGTTTTTTTAATTGGTTTTTATATGAGCATGTAAACACACACACACACATGCACACAAATGTAAGGAATTAAACCATAAAATAGAAAACTGGATCAGGGTGTTGAATAAGTCTAAAATGTTTCAGTTTTTAAAAGTTAGTTCTCTAGAAGCTAACCGTGCTAACTGGGATTTACTTTAGTCAAGTAATATGGCAAGCAAACAAATTATGTAATATGCATAATCTTCAATTTTTCCATCTAAAGATAACATTTCAGGTATCTAGTCTGTCTTTATTCTAATTCATTATCAACATTCATAGGTGTGTTTCACTTGTTTATTCAATACGTGATCTCTAGTTGGAATTATTTCCTTGTAAGTTGTTCTCTGGGGAAACAAAGCTCCAGTGCACCTGTTTCAGGAACTAGACGTAAGCCACGTCAGAGCTGAACTTCAGACGGCAGGCTTTGGAGTCTTATTTCCTGATATTTGGACATCTCCCCACTGATTGGCTACCAGCAACACAACTCTACCCCTGACTCTGTTTGCTCTGCATCGTTGATGTTTTACCTCCTCAAATAACACAAGCCTGGAGGAGTTCTGTTGTGTGGTGGAGTTGCTAATGCTAACAGTTGGCTTCTACTAGCCAAGACGTTCTCTGCTGTTTCCTGGATGCTAAACCAAATACAGCCTTCCACTCCGCAAGTCAAGATGGGTGAGTTCATGAATGTTAAGTGACAGTGACGTAGATCTGTCAGGCTTTTCAAAGAGTTTCACCGTCTATTTTCTATCAGAAGCTAATGCAGGAGATAGATGTAGGAGACTATTTTCAGCCTGCATGACAAACTTAGAGTGACCGATTATAATCAGAAATAATAATTAATAAATTTATTTGGGTTTTTTTTTTTTGGTGTTCCACACCTTTATTACTTTTCCAGTTTGGGTCATTTTCATCTATATTGAAGATTTTTGATGTCTGAAAATTATTTCTTAGGAATAACATCAGACATCTACAGACCTGATCAGACACATCATTTGCTGCAGTGGCCCCAGACTCTGGACCTCTCTCCCCTGAGCCTGAGATCAGTGGACTCAGTGGTCTCCTTTAAAAAGCAGCTGAAAACTCACCTGTTGAAACTTGCTTTGGTGTGACCTTCATCACCAACTTCTCCTTATTCTGTTCTTATTCTGCCTTTCCTGGGATCCACTGATTTCCCTCTTTCCCATTCATTTTCTCTCTCTCTCTTTCCTCACATTTTTTTCTTTTCTCCTTTTAAATATGTTTTAATCATTTTTTAAATATTTTTGTACTTACATTTTTTTTGTTTTTGTGAAGCGCCTCGTGATTTTAATCTTGAGACGCTATATAAAAGATTGTTTTGTTTCTTTACCTACTGTAACTATTAAAATGTTTTATTATATACATTATTTCTTCATATATTTAACTTTAATTTCAACTTCCAATAAACATAAAAATGCCAAATTTCATGATAGTCTTCAGGTTATACATACATTTTTCCAACTTTTTGAAGGTCTTTTGAAGTTTTCTTTTGATTGGTTCAGGAAAACGTGAAGGGTGCCATTAAAATATGGAAAGTGGACACATGAATGACAAATGAAGAAACGCCAGATCTAAAACTTGTTTACAGCAGCAGACAAATGGTGTGTGAAAGTCATGTGAAACAGGACCTGAGATAAATAAGAAGTGTATGATGAGGTTTTAGAGGTATGGGAATCCCTTTATTAGTGCTAAAACACTAGGATACATGTCAAAACGGATTTCTTGAGAATTTGTCATAGATTCAGCTTATAAATGCCAACAAACTGTGATTTGTTTCTAAACTGTCTTTAACCTGACTGTATAGGAGCAGTTTTGGGTCTGAATAATTCATGGTGAGTAGTCTACAGGTCACAGTGTCGCATCGGTTTAATGATGCTGTTTGGCCTTGAACAGCTAAGGGTATAGAGGAAGCCACACGCTGGAGCACAGGATCTCCATCTCTGAGAGAATAAAGATTGTTTACAGCCTAGACACGCTCGGCCCAAAGCAGTTCTGTTTTAAGAGGTCTTGACCACACGGGGAAATGATGAGTCTGTACTAATAAAAGTTTCTGAAGTTCAAAAGAGTTTTCTCTGTGAAGTGTGTGACGTGCTGCGGTGGTTCACAGGTGACCAGTGGAAACATACAACAGGCTTGTAAAATAGAAAAATTAAACATGTCTGTAAAAAAACTTTGAAAACCTGGCCACATTTTATACAAGAGCTGTTTAAAAGTTTGTATTAGGGGTAGATCTTTGGAAGAACAGAGAGAAATGAGAAATGGGACAGGCCTTTGACAAACATTTTTGTTCAAAACTAGTTAAAAAACAAGTCAAGCTGGTCAGAAATCATAAGAAAATGTTTTCTAACATCTGAAAAAAGTAAAAGATTTAAAGGAGCCAGAGGACCTTATATATAAAATCAGATTGTGACTGCTTTAAGCCTGCAGATTTAGAACAAAAGAGAACAGATGACCTACATAGGGACCACAAGATCTTAGATGATAAAATGAAGGAAATTATTTTGAGACAACAAGCAGTTCATATTGTTTCTTCTCAGCAAACCGTTTTCATAGAAGAGCAGAATAAGAGCTGACAACTTAAAACAAAACTTGTCTAAATTCTGTTTAACAATTGAGTTCATGATCAGACTCTTATTCTTGCTTTTTCTTATTTACCAAAACCTTCTAAAGGAAATTAAAAGTATGGCTAGTAGTTTTTATATTTAAAAATGACATATTTACATGATCCAACAGTTAATGGGTAGTAATAGTTTGGGATGGATTAAGCCCCAGAAGTTTTGAACAACACTGAAATGTTTGTACTTGAAATTTGTTTTTGGTTAGCAGGGAATTATTTATGCATATCAACAAAATAGAGTAAATCTAGTTGAAAATTACTAAAAGACACGTTTAAAAATCGAAATAAATGCAGTGAATGTGTTTTTTTTTTACTGAAACTGTAACTTTTTCTCAAATAAGTGTGTTGGTTAATGAATTAAATGCTATAACAGCTTGCTATACAATTGATAACAAACTCTGGTTGGATAATTTTTACACTGGTGCTGGTGAACAAAAACAACTTTCTATCATTTCATCTTAAACGTATTGTTCCTACCTTGTGAGCTGCAGGGATTTCTGGATGTTCTGTAAGACAAAGAAATAATTAAATTTACATTTTCTGTTTACCTGTAAAATCAGCTGGTTTTGCCCCAAAAGCCGCTGGTACGTTTGTTCATGTTTCAGTACCTGCCGCTCTCTGGAAATATTATTTTCTTAAAAGCAGCCGGATGTGAGATGAAAACTAAAATTCCGACAGCTGTCAGATGGTTTCAAACTGGATTTTCATCTCGTTTCCAGCTTCCGTTCAGCTGTAGCTGTCTCTATTACTAATCCTCTATCCTGGACGACTTCTGATGAGAGACACTTCCTCGGAATTCGCAAAGATATCTCTTATTGTTCTAGGAGGCGGAGTGAAGATTGCGGTTTGTGGTTCATGCATCCTGTCATCGCAACTGCAGCAACAGCACCACCTACTGGACAGCTTGGTGTCACACACACAAACGGTCAACAACTGAAAGCTGACCAGAGGAAACACAAAAGACACTTTGGATGATTTCCCTCACTAAATGAACAAAAACTACTTGATGCCCAGAGTGAAACCTTACATCGGGATGTTGTTAGAAGGAACACATTCTATCAAAGATAATTAACAGGTCTCACATCGCTCTTCTTTGCAGAATTGTTTTAATTCAGCCACTTTTGAGAATTTTCCAGAGCGGCCGCCTCTTTAAGGTCAAACATTCTACTTTGGGGGTTTATGCTCCAGCACAAGATTCATAGTTCTATCAATTACAGAAAGTAGTCCAGGTCATGTAGCAAAGCAGCCCCAGACCATCACACGGTCACCACCATGCTTGTTGGTATGTTTGTCTGACATGGTGTTAATTTTACAGCAGATGTGACAACAAACATTTTCCAAATGACTCTAGGACTTTTCTTTGCAACTATGAGCCAGGTGTTTCTGGTTTTCTTCTTTGGTCAGAAGAGGTTTTTGCCTCGGGACTCTCAGTGATGCCAATGTTGCTTTTTGTTCGTCTAATAAAGCAAGACCTGAATTGCGTTTGATTTAGTTATGGGTTGTTGTTCTTGAATTTCTTCAAAACTTACCACGAGTGTCAAACAGGACCCACTGAGGTCAATCCTACAGGTCTAACAGTAACTAATCCTGAGTGTGGACCTGAACTCAGCTTTCCAAATGTTAACCATAGCTGACTCATAATTTCAGAAAAGGCAAATACTTCTTTGAACGTGTTAAATTAAACAACCAAGGAGGCAAAAAATGGCTTAAGAGTGTTTTATTATTTCCCTCCTTAATGAGGCAACACTACAAATACATTCAGACAGCAACGTTCACACTTCCTGTTTCAACAATACAAAAGAGACCGCAACACCCGCTGTAAATAAAATAAGCAATAAGAGGCTATTGGTAAACAAATATGGAACTAAAAACACACAGCAAGTCTCTCAGGTCTGCTTTTAGAAGCCAAAGTTGTGCAACTGTCCTTTTCCTATACAACTCATATAAATGAGACCAAAACAGCACTACCCACACAAAAACAACATATAAATGTTCCTCAAACTTTGTCTTTTAAATACATGATTCAGGCACAAGGAGGAAGGTCAAAGGACTGTAACCGCTATATTTCTACAGATCCCCCCCCCCCCCAACTAAATCTTCTCCAATCTGCACATCATCCATTGGAAATAAAAATTACTAAGCATAATTGTACGGCTGCATACTTTATTATGTCTTAAGTGCTTTGCTCCCCAAGCATTTAACTGTGCAAAAACAAACCTCTCTTCAGACGGATTTATTTTCAGGCGTAGCCACCTTTGTGACGTTTTCACGACTTATCTTAGCTGCGACTCACTCTCAAAGTCCGAGTTTTCCTTTGGTTTGTGGTCTGAACGCATGTCTCATCTCCACCCAGCTTTTAAATGCATATATACATAAAAACGCATTAAAGGGTGCAAAACTGATATGAATATTCATCATTTCTATTACTTACATAACATCTTTATGAAGCGGTCTTCTCTAATCTTCCTCACAAGTTGAAAGCACCTTATCTTTCTTAGTGAAAACCCTTCAGCAGCACTTTTACCTCTGTCAGTCCCCAGGAGGTGGATGTTTCCACTGAGGTCTGAAGAGTTTCTTCACTTGAACACCCCGAACATAAAGCGTAAGGTGCAGATGTGTTGCTTTAACTGGGGGTTTATTAGGACAAAACAATGGTGGTGAGAATAAACTAAGGAGGAAGATGGTCAGTAGTTAGTGAGCTGTTTGACTCATGTGGAATGATGCAACCAATTACGTCCACGATTTTGTTTTAGACTATTTGCTTTGTACCGTTTAGATCACACTGAATATAGGTGGGAGAAGAAATGGTGTTCAAACCTCAGAAAAAGACCTGATTCTTCAGGATTTGCAGGTAACATGTAGAGTCAAAGGTACGTTTATATGCACGCAGCTGCATGTTAAAGTTCTTTTGGAAATGAAAAAAATTAATAATAACTATGACATTCTACCAGTCTCTACACTAGCAAACTCCACCCTGGAGGCAGAGGTCAAGCACTCGCTGCTTCTTCTTCCTTCTTGTCTTTTTTCCCCTCCCCCTCTCCTTCCCCCGTCTCATTGATGTCCCACCGTCGTTTGCGGTTGCGTGCGCTGGCCTTAGACGCTGGAAGGGAATCGATGCCCAAAACCTTGTGGATCTGACGGAAAGCAAGCAGCCGCAGAGCATGCTGGAAGCAGAGGAAGTACAAAAAAGGTAAAAAGTCGATTGTGCAGCTTTAAGCCAGACTACAGTGTGTTTGTCAAAACTCGCACAGTGTGATCCGGGCTTTAAGCAACACTTGGATGAGTTGTTCGAGTACCTGTGCGCTGGCAGTTATGTCCTCTCGGGCTTGAAGCTTCATGCTCTCTAAAGCATTTGTTGGCTCCTTCTCACAGGGGTCCATCAAACCTGGTCCATCTGGATGAAGAGAGGAAAAAAACACAAGAGTTAGTAACAACACACTATTGGAAATAAACCAATTTTCTACTTTGCCATGAGGTTATTCATCTGCAATAAGATAAAAAAGAAAATATTTGAAATAATCCATTTTCTCCTGAGGAGACGTGAGTGCAGACAGACTTTTCTTCACTCGCGAGTGTGGAGGAAATCTGTTTAGTAAAGCCTTCCCCGTTAGCATGAATTCACTAGCAGATTGTTCAGGGAATTCAGGGAAGTTGAACAAGTTTCGATCCCAATAACAGCGAGAGATGATAAAGCAAAAGCTATTTTCAATCAAAATAAGAAAAATGCTAAGAAACCATCTATAAATCCCTTTTATGCAAACATTTTTGTAATTCAACGGTTTGAGTGACACTGTTAGGGAGACGTATGTGCAATGTTATTTTAACAACACTCCAGCTGACGTCACTAAATAATAAAAGTGAGATGATTCAAATGAAGCAGCTGCTGTCATTAGGCCGACTCTACTACAGGTCTACTCATCAGTTGATGATCATTTGTGACCTGGTAGCAGGATTCCTGTGGAGATGCACTCCAGCACCCGGCGCATGGCCTCTCCTGGGCTGAGCGGACCGGCGGCACTGCTGATCACCTTCTCCACCAGCAGCTCCATCGCCTGATCAGGAAAAAAAAAAAAACACAAAGATGGAAACAGACAGGCTAAAAGCCATTTATAACCACACAAGGTGGATTTAAATCTGCATTCAAAATCACTAAAATCACTTGATGGCTGAAGTCGATACAAGCATCAACTATGACTTTAATGTGTCTTCTCACAAAAAGCCAAAAATGGACAAAAATATTCAAAACAAAGTTTTGTTCAAAACCCTTACCCATCCAGGCATTCTCCCCCAGGTGGGAACACGCTGGCATAAATCTCTGAGCACTCTAATGATGATCACACATGACTGCAGTCCGTTTGCACGAGCCTACAGGGGTTTGAAATGAGCGGCATCAACATTAGTTTTGTCCTGTGGAGCAAAAGGACCAACAGGGTCTAAAGCTATCGGTACAAAGTAAAAAGTGTTGACGATAACTTTCTACCTGAAACCATTTAGCATGTCGAAGAGAAGCCAGATAATCCAAACATTTCTTCTTATTTAAAAGGTCAGGTGGATCCTTCTCAGACACATCTGTGGAAAAGGAGACGCACAAACTTAGTGCTCATAATCAAGTTGATGCAAAAACCCACATGATCATTGAAAGATGTCATTCATTTCTCAAGGCATCTGAATGGAGTATTTATGAAATTGGTGCAAGATATACACAGGTAGGTAAAACAGCATGTTTCTGTTCAACATATCTGCTGAATAATTGTATAAAAAAATGACAAATGCGTACTTTAGAGAGGCCTGTCAGGAATGAAGGTTAGAAAATAAGGAAATCCCAGGTAATCACAAAAATGTGGTCATATTCTATTTAAAATTTTAGTTCAAAATAAAATCTTGTGGTATTCCTAAACACTCGTGGTTTTATTTCCCTTTTCTTAGATGTTCTGCCTGTTCAAACACAGATTTATATTTCAGTTCTGTTTATTATATAGAGAAGTTAGATATAGTGAATTCCCAACTCCTACTCAAGAGACAAACACAGCAAAGCAGAACCATCGCCAGTTTTTACAGTGCTCTGTAGGAAACCAGAAAGTGGCATAACTTTTGGTGTGGGGAGTTTTAGAAATGATTATGAAGCAGCGTCAACACTGCTCATTTCATTTTCCTTACATTAAGCTTTGCAAGCCAACCACCAACTCTTCTGATTTAACAAATGCCAGTTTTTGGTGACGTCTGCCGGTATAATATGCCTTCTGAGTTGCAACCAGTAAGCACAGGTACCCACAAGTCCCACCCAGCTACTCTAATGGGCCATTTCCGAGTAGATACCCCAATTAAAAGCCCTCGCTTCATCCTTTCAGGCCGGCCCGGTGAAGTGGGAATACTTGCATAAGGTCCATTAAAATGACCCAGAAGTCCTGAAAAGAGTCTACTATGTCACCCTTAATTTGCAGTAACAATAAATATAGCTTCAATCGTGCTTGGGTGTGTGGGATGTTTATTAAACTGTACCATCAATGTCAGGATAAAGAAAAGACAATTTTACGACAGACTACCTCAGAACAGACAGAACAATGGATGTTGACGTCATAATTCAGAACAACAAACCTAAATGTACTTTGATGGCTCAATATGTCATAGTAAGTTCAGCATCTGGGGTTTCCACACTTCCACGTTGACGAGAACTGTAGCAACAACTGAGATGAGCTCAAACAGATGAATTACAACAAGTAGTGTTGAAGCCTACACGATCATACCACTGAGAACCAAAGAGCCACGTTTAGCACACTTTTCAGACTGTGATTCAGCTACAGTCAACAAGAGGATTTTACCATTATGAAAAGCGTAATAAACATGGGCATGCTGTTCTTTGTCTTTATTCGTAGTGGTATGTGTGTCAGTGTAGCCTAGTGAACTAGACCAAGTTCTTGCTTTGTAAAGAATGGTCTAGGCACGCTCCATTGGAACCTCAGCAGCTCCTACCAGGACTCTGGCTAGCCAATCACAGCTCTCTAGAGGGGTTTCAAACACATAAAGAGCTGTGATTGGTCCATAATGGTGGGCCAATCATAGTGCTCTATCTGCTTAGTGAACAAATCACAGAACTTTATCCACTTTGTGGGCCAATCAGGGCACTCTATATGCCTGGTGGGTGGGATGATGCAACAGAGTGAAACAAGAGTATGTCACATTCATTGTCCAGTGGAATGCGGAGATCATTTGAAAGACAACGGTAGAACCCGCCCCACAACCGAGAGCCATCAATGGAGCGTGGCCACACTAAATAATACATTTATTTAGTCTGGCTTGCCAGGCTAGTGTCAGTGTGGACTTCATACCAAACCTGTGGCTCAGCAGGCTCTGCTGAGACAGAATGGGGCTAACCGATCAACATAATTTAAGAAAAATATAAGACAACAGCGACAGAAAACATTTGCATTATGTTTTCCAAATGAAGGAGAACAAAAAAATAAATAAAATAAACATTTAAATGCTGACAGATACTAGAGCAGGCAGTGGAGTGGTAGCAACACAATGACCCGAGTCTGTTTTCACATCTAAGGAACTTTAATGATCACTAAGGTGATTTCAGTTTTACATTAATTCAGATCATTGTGAAGCAGCAAAACACACACTCCAACGCTTCATTGTTGATAATGCTGTATAAGATGCCCAATCCTGGCCATGGGGGACAGTATCTAGCATGTTTTGTGATTTCTCTGATCCAACACACTTGAATCAGAGGTTGAATCACCTGTGCAGCAGCTCATCAGGCTCTGCAGAAGCCTGTTAATCACACGCTGAGTGAAATCAGGTGTGTTGAAGCAGAGTTTAAACTAAAACCTGCTGGATACCGGCCCTCCAGGACCAGGATTGTGCACCCCGTATACAGTGATGAGAGACGACAAGACAGAAAGTCCATGGAACTCCACAATCCCCCTTCTAGGCATAACTGTTTTTGTGACAACATTCTAGGGCTGGGCGATACGTCCTAAAATCATTATCACAATATTGAGGATTTCACCTTGATAACGATAAATGGACGATAACTGCAGGTGTACGCAGAAACAAAAGTTGTCCACTAGATGGGGCTGTCACATGTATTACGTTGAGTCACATGTAATTTAGTTGAGTCACAAAAGGTGGTACAGCTTCTTAAAGGGACACAAACGTTACCAACCTACACACATCTTTTCATTTTTGTATTATCAAATTTATTGACACGGGAAAAATTATCACGCTAAGGGTCAGAAATTTTGATAACGATAAATTTTCGATTTTTTTGCCCAGCCCTTCAATGCTCCCATCACTTAGAGGTTTTTCATCCCTGGGCATTAGCTGAACATTGATTTTCTGTTATTATACAGGTGCTGGTCATAAAATTAGAATATCATGACAAAGTTGATTTATTTCAGTAATTCCATTCAAAAAGTGAAACTTGTTTATTAGATTCATTCATTACACACAGACTGGCATATTTCAAATGATTATTTAATTTTGATGATTACAACTGACAACTAATGAAAATCCCAAATTCAGTATCTCAGAAAATTACAATATTGTAAAAAGGTTCAACATGAAGACCCCTGGTGCCACACTCTAAATGCTTTTGCAGGTCTTCTGAGTTCATTAGCTGAATAAATTGTCTCAGTAGTTCTGTAGGCTACACAATCATAGGGAAGACCGCTGACTTGACAGTCGTCCAAAAGACGACCATGGGCACCTTGCACAAGGAGGGCAAGACACAAAAGGTCATTGCTAAAGAGGCTGGCTGTTCACAGAGCTGTGTCCAAGCACATTAATAGAGAGGGAAGGGAAGGACAAGATATAATGGGAAAAAATGGTACAAGCAATAGGGATAAGCGCACCCTGGAGAGGATTGTGAAACTAAACCCATTCATAAATGTGGGGGAAATTCACAAGGAGTGGACTGCAGCTGGAGTCAGTGCTTCAAGAACCACCACACACAGGCGTATGCAAGACAGGTTTCAGCTGTCGCATTCCTTGTGTCAAGCCACTCTTGAACAAGAGACGGCATCAGAATTATCTCGCCTGGGCTAAAGACAAAAAGGACTGGACTGCTGCCGAGTGGTCCAAAGTTATGTTCTCTCTGATGAAAGTAAATTTTGCATTTCCTTTGGAAATCATGGTCTCAGAGTCTGCAGGAAGAGAGGAGACAGAATCCACATTGCTTGAGGTTCAGTGTAAAGTTTCCACAGTCAGTGATGGTTTGGGGTGTTATGTCATCTGTTATTGGTCCATTGTGTTTTCTGAGGTCCAAGGTCTAGTAGACGGTGTCAACCACGAAGTTTTAGAGCATGTCATGCTCTCTGCTGCTCACCAACTTTCTGGAGTTTCAGATTTCATTTTCCAACACAGTGCCAAAGCTACCAGTACCTGGTTTAAGGACCATGGTATCCTTGTTTTTGATTGGCCAGTAAACTGGCCTGACCTTAACGGGGAAAATCTATGTGGTATTGTGAAGAGGAAGATGCAATACAACAGACCCAACAATTGAGAAGAGCTGAAGGCCACTATAAAAGCAACATGGGCTCTCATACCACCTGAAAAGTACCACAGACTGATGGACTCCATGCCACGCTGCATTGCTGCAGTAATCCAGGCAAAAGGAGCTCCAACTAAATACAGACCGCTGTACATGTTCATACTTTTCATGTTCAGACTTTTCAGTTGGTCAATATTTCTAAAATTATTTTTGTTGCATTGGTCTTAATTGATATTCTACTATTCTGAGTTACTAAATTAGAGATTTTCATTAGTTGTCAGTTATAATGAACATTAAAGGAATAATCATTTGTAATATATTAGTCTGTGCATAATGAATGAATCCAATATACAGAATCCAATATACAGGTTTCACGCCAGGCGTCCAACCCCCCACCCCCACAGTCACGGACGATGCACGATAGCGAAACAATCCGCGTGTGAATGGAATTACAAACATAAATCAACTTTGTCATGATATCCTAATCTTATGACCAGCTCCTGCACGTTTCAAGTTTTGCATGAGTGTGTGTTCATGACATAAACACACACTCGAGTGGCACAGAAAGGTCGGAGAGCCCGGCTTTTGGTTCCCATCGTTGTTGAGAGAGGAAATAAATAAAACGGGGGACTAATGCAGCTGCAAGACATGGTAAAAGAAAATATCTGGGACAAATGAGCGTGCAATTTGACTGTTGGGGATTAATGAAAGGAAATCTTGAATGAGGGCTTTTTCAAAGTCCCCCCCTAAGAGCTTTCTTCTCATCTAATTTCTCAGCCTAAATTTAGGGTGCCGACTGGTGAAGGAGCAAAAGGGATATAATATAGATATAATAGGTGTACTACACAAGTGTATTACACAGACCACAAACATTTGGTTGTCTGGTACTGAAAGCTTTGGCTTCTCTAACCTTTCTCAGCCGCTTTTCCTCCTGCCTGCATGTCCTTCTCAGCAGCAGGGTCCTCCCTCATCAGTGGCGAGGTGAGAGAAACGGTCACCTGCATTTTGGGCTCCTGGCTTGAAATAATCACGATGTTCGCCTCCTCGGGGTGAGCCTGCACCTCATACTGATCTTCAGAAAATGTCTGCCGGTTAAAAGGACACTTGGGATTACTCACTACAGAGGAGGAAGGGATGTGGGGGCGGAGGGTATTCTTGTTGGGCGTGTTTGGGAAAGCAATCTGTCTCAAGACCACTGCGATATAACTGCCTTATTAAAAAAGGCCAGGGACACTACAGTGTCTCAATAATAGGTTGTGGAAAATCTCTTTTAAGAGCAGAATTTTATAAAATGAAAAAGGGGGCGTGTAGTGAAGAAACATCCCATCTCACTCTGTAGGATTCAGGTGTCATAACCAGGCAGTAAATCTAAAGATCAGTGAAAAGCACCTTCAACAACACTCATACGGCTACAGCAGAGAAACAAACAGTGAGGACATGACTACCTCCTCTGTCCTGTTGTCCTTAACTGGTTTGGTGTGCATCATTCTGACTGTTTGACCCCTAAACGTTCAGTTATCTTAAGTCCAGGTGTGACTAACATTTTGTTTTACTGTATTTCATCATTAGCTGCTCTGTCAGATAAGGCAAACCTTATACCAACTGGGTTTGAATTTGACTTGTTCTACAGCAGGGGTGGGGAACCCTATTCCATCAAGGGCCGCTATCCAGCATATTTTAATTTCAACCCTGCATCATCACACCCGATTTCAATCAGCAGGTGATTAACAAGCTTCTGCAGAGCTTGATGAGCTGCAGAACAGGTGAATCAACCACTGAATCAGAAGTGTTGGAGCAAAGACATGCAGGACACCGGCCCTCGAGGACCAGGATTCCCCACTCCTGTTCTACAGTAATGTCTTTGTCCCCCCCCCCAATTAAATTTAATAAACAAGGGGTGTTTAAAACTCTTGTAAACCCTTCCACACCTGAAATCATCAACCTATTTTAAAGAAACCTGTTATGATTCTAAAAATGCTCAAGAGATTATTTGATTTAATAATCAAACGAAATGTGAGAAAGCTGGTGATCCCGATCGGTCATACTCCTTTTTGCAAAGCACAAGAATTTATCCGTATTTTTTATAAATCACGTCTAACATTTCACTTACCGCCAGCTCCTTAGGCAGCTGCATGGTGATGCTCTTCAGTAAAGAGATGGTGGGTTTCTTAGCAGTTAGCAGGATTAGCTCTACATTTCTGTCACCGCGAAGCAGCAGGCCTTTGGCCAGGATGCCGACCCTCATCACACCTTTGAGCAGCCGGGCGGCACTCTCAGTACTGACGGGGAACACGACAGGACAGGAATCTGTTGTTACCATCGTTTCTAAGCTTTATATACAGTACTTCAATTAAAGAATATACAAAAAAAAAAAAGGATTAGTCATTTGCAGCAGTATTCAGGATAGACTGAGCTGTAAAATCCCTTTTTATTTATTTATTTGTTTGTTTATCAAGCTGCTTTGGGCTCATGTTGGGATAAAATATATTTACCAACAGTTTTTCTCCTCGGGAAATGAAAGGAAAAAAGTGATCAACACTCTGCTGATGGTCCCTAAATTAAACTTTTTTGTCGCAGATCTGATTTATCAAGGAGTCACAAGTGTTAAATGATCAATGGCAGCATTTGGGTGTGAGTGATTAACTAAATAATTCTAAATGAACATGAAGATAACTGAATATTTCTAAGCTAATCTCTGTAAAATCTATGAATACTGAGGTACAAAATCACATACTCGTTAACTCTGTCCTTCTCTGCAAACTTCTCTTTATTATATACTTTCTTTTTCAAATGCAAAACAGAAATGCTCATTTTCAGATATATTATTTCATTGTTTCATTTGAAGTTATGATTTCTTGTTTTTTCCATCTATTCACGTATTTTGGTTGTTGTTTCTTTTTCTGTTTTTTGTACATGTTCAAACTAAACTTTCTAAACTAAATAAACAGAACAGGTCATGTGACAACTAATGATTATCATCACATGCATCATTTTACATAAAAAGACACAAGAATAAGAGTATAAAATCAGTTTCTTGCCTTTTTTCTTCGACTTCCTTAGGAGCAGTGGTTGTTTCCTTTTCAAGCAGAGAGTCTGACACCAGTTTAAGAGCTCTCTCTGAGTGGGAGACGATCCTCTGGACAGCCTGGAGCTCCTCTTCCGCCGGGTAAATGGTGGAGTGTTTGGCCATGATGTGACGGTCATCTGCAGAGTCGGGGCGACGGACGCAGTTCTGAAGGCAAATGAACCAGTAAAGGTTAGAAGCTGCTGCCATTTTATGTTGTATACCAAATTGATCCAAACCATTCTCACCAGTAGAGGGGGTACCGGCATACCGGGGCGACTCATCAGAGGTGGGGGGGCCATCCTGCGTCGCTGCTCCCCCCAGTACATCTGCTCCTCCTCCATCCTTCTCCAGTACATCTCCTCCTCATATCGCCTGAAGGAAAGACGCAAATGTGTAAGGTCATTAATGAATCAGAATCAACTTTATTGTCGGTGCCCCAGCGTTCTGAAGCACAGAAATTTCTCTCCGCAGTACAGACGGGTTTTCACAGCATCTGTCTGCATTCCTTCCTGGATGTTTTTACTTCTCACAGCTCAAGACTACCAGGGCACCATATTCAGATAAGATGAATTGTTTAGGTCAGGCAGAGATAATTTCCTCTGCATTTCAGTTTTTAACTGATAATTCAGTCTCTCAGTAAATCCAATTATTGGGTTTAAACTTGCCCATAACATGCAGTGACTTTCTCCAAGATCAAATCCATTTTGCGAACCAACACCAGGATTGCAGCTAGAACCTCTCGCTTGCGATTCCCCTCGAGTAACTTCCCATTCTGTGCAGTCTCCACACGGCTGAGACTTTCCATGGGTACAGTTTTCACTCCAGTTGCCCCCGATTTTCCAAATTTCCAAAATACCAGAAACCCCCCCCACTCCAAACAGAAGAAATCCAGTAATTATCAGCCCGAAAATCCATACATCTTTGATTTCCTCCATGGACAGCTGGGAAAGGCATATAATATTCCACTCTTTCCAAGAATCCAGTATATAACACACCAGGTGTGTACCATCTGGACAAGTAGGAGCCCCCTGCTACGTTTATACTGTTGAAAAAATCTTGTCCATCGCGTTGAATGACCAGTTGACCAAATCCATAATTTAATAAAAATAGGGTTTTCAGGAGGAATACAGAGAAGTGCTCTGTAGACAGACAGGACAAGAGCCTTGTGGGGGGAAATGATAAGGGAGAGAAAAGAGAAGCGTCTGCACTCCGGTGCCAGAAGAAGCAGCCAATGGTAAATGGTAAATTGCCTGTATTTGTATAGCACCTTCTTAAGGCGCTTCACAACGCAATCAGTCATTCACACATTCACACACTGGTGGGGATGAGCTACGATGTAGCTACAGCTGCTCTTGGAAACACTGACAGAGGTGAGTGAGGCCTCCTGAACACTCAACTCTTCTAAGCTGACAGAACAGGTGTACCAAATCTGATTTTAGGGACACTTGATTGCAAATTGAGTTGAAAGGCTCATATTAAAAGATATTTTTTTAAAAATATAGAAACACTGAATAAATTCTTTTTACTAATTTAAAATAATCTTATTACATATTATGATTATTACTGTTTATTAGAATAGAATTCCTTAGTAAACTCTCTGGAAAAACGAAAAGAAAACGTAGCCTGGAAATATTGACAGACAGCAGCCTAAGCTAAATCATTTTGCTTTGCACATCCGTCTAGGAACCTCAACAGGCCTAAACAGTCTTGTGTCATCACATCAGTTTGGTGGGCCAATCACAGCACTCTATCAGTTTGGTGGGCCAATCACAGCGCTCTATCAGTTTGGTGGGCGGTATGTTACGGCGACTGATAAAAAAGAAAGATGGCAACGGCTCATTTGAAATGGCTTTGGCATCAATTTTGGACTATATAGACTATGGCTTTTGTTTGAGTCAGAAGCAGAAAGAAAGAAGTCCTTTATTTAGAAAAAGGATGCATTTGCACATCCTTCATCTGAGTATGGCAGACTGCCCTGTTGACTGACATCTGTAGCTGTGAGTATGTCACATTTTTTAATAGGGAATTGTCGAATAGGGAGCCTAAGTCACGCCCATCTATTTCTGGACCACGGGTTTCCGGAAGAACGAAAAAATGAATGCAAGTCAATGGGGCTAAAAACGCTATTTTCTAATCTCGTTTGTTATGTGCCATGGATTTCAAATGAGTTCCATGATTTTTAAGGACACATTCTGATGCCAAGAAAGCACTTATTTTCGAACAGGGGCAACAGTTGTTTTAGATTTTGTGTGAAAATACATCCAGGCCTACAAATGCACATCACCAAAGTGACACAATCAAACCAGACACGGAGAAGAGAAGAGCAAAAATGGCTGCAAGTTTAGCGAACTACAAATTCTTCCCTCGGGAGGAAAGAACCACCATAAACCTGGCCGTGTGGTAAGTAGCAGCTACGCTAGGGGAGATGAGGTTCTGTGGTGACATCATATATGCGACATGCCGATGTCTGATTTGTAGTCATGCTAATTACGGACATTTATAAGTTGATAAATCTCTTTTGAAAACCAATTTTTATGATTTGGCTTTAAACTTAGCATGAGTCTTTTTAGTGTTTTTTATTGGTAGCTCTTAAGCTTTAGTCTTTATGCATTTTTATGTTGTGTATTGTTTTTAATGTTTTTAATTTCTGTGAAGCACTTTGGTTGGTTTTATACTGTTGTAAGGTGCTATACAAATAAAGCAGCCTTGCTTGGATAAATCTCAAAGTATATGACAGGCGTGGTCAAAACACACATCATTACTTTTCATTAAAATTGAAGTAGAACATGTGTGATTCAGGGCTTAAGGCAAATTAGATTAGAAAACAACTTACCGTATTGACCCGCATATAAGACAAGGTTATTTTCATCGAAAATAATTTTAAAATGTGGGGTTGTCTTATAACCAGGGTCTAAGCATTATACGCCCGTAACAGCAGAGGGTGCCAGGCTGTATGTTTTCAATAGGAGAAAAAAAATGGAGACGAGAGGTCCGGAGCAGAGTGGACCGAAAGTGGGGCAAGTTAACAAGCTATAAGAAAGAGTTATGCAAATTTTAAAATGACTGTGGTCAATTCAGCAGAGGCGTCAAACATTGCACGCATGGACGACATTCAATGGGAGGAGCCGGCAGGTGTAGCGATCTGATGGTACACCCCGCAGCAGCATGAGCATTGAGTACAGCAAGGGAGAGGGCGTTTGGATAAAAGCCTCATTTGACATTTGATTTCACATGTCAGCAAAGTTCTGATAGTTTGCATTAAAATAGTATTTTTTTTCTCAGTACTTGTTCTCAAATTTTCAATAAAAATATTTTATTCAAAAGGTAATTTTTGTTTTGTCTTTTCCTGAAGATTAGTCTTGGAAAGGGGGGATGTCTTATAATCGGGGTTGTTCTATATTCAGTTCAATACGGTATTTAGCGCCAATGACCTGTCTTCGTTTTTTCGTTCTTCCGGGGACCCATGAGCCAACCAGAAAGGGAGGTGACTTCCAATATAGACTGTTTGAAAGACATCTGTGAATTCCATCCCAAATTATGAACAGGAAACATGTGTGCCACTCTAAATTAGCATAATTATCATTCATTCATTCATTTTATTTATAAAGCCCCTTCCCACCCCCAATCAAGGGGGCCCAAGGTGCTGAACATAGTGCAAAGAAGCAGCACAATATAACAGCTCTATAAAAAAGAGAGCTAAAAATAAAAGAATAGTGATCAAAAACATTAAAATGTGAATAAAAACTAAGAAACAGATCTAAAATACAGCTTAAGCCTTGCTTTAAAAGTGGGCAGCGATGTGGACCGCTTGATTTCTTGTGGGAGTTGGTTCCAAAGCCAAGGTCCCAGAACTGCAAAGGCACGATCACCCCTAGACTTACGCTTTGATCGCGGTACCACCAAAAGGTCACTCTGACCTGAACATAGTGACCTTGCAGGGACATAACAGGTCAGCAGGGAGGCTAAATATGGTGGCGCTGATCCAGACAGGGATTTAAAAACAAGGACCAGGATTTGAACAAGATCAATTAAATATGCAAATAATTAATTGGTTAATTAGATGGCAGGCCCTCTGATTATTACTATTTTTTTACCTTAACGTCACCATTATTTTGGGTTGTTCACCCCAGCGTGACTCAAATATGATTATGGGTTTGTTCACCCCAAAGTCACCTAAATATCATTATTTTGGGTTGTTCACGCAATGTCACCCAAAAATGATCATTTGGCCTCTATAGCACATGGACACCACCTTGCCCCAGTGCACACGTCCCTTTTTAAAATTCTTTCAGCAATTTTCTAGTTGTTTTATTTGTCTTCTAGCTGTTGAGCTAAACTGTGTTTTTTTCCAACAAAAAAGCAGAAACAGGTGTGTTCTTGCTGTGTCGTATTTCTAATTCCATGCTGTAGTTCTTTTTTAAAACACAGAACAGTTTTGTTACCTGTTTTCCCGCTACGTTTCATTTGCGGCTGCAAACTTCCTCAGGCTGACGCTGATGGTAGCGGATAAACGGAGAAGGAAGTGACGCCACCATCAGCGTCAGCCTGAGGAAGTTTGCAGCCGCAAATGAAACGTAGCGGGAAAACAGGTAACAAAACTGTTCTGTGTTTTAAAAAAGAACTACAGCATGGAATTAAAAAAGCAGAAACATGTGAGTCTTACATCACATTCAGCACTTCCCGTTTACTGGTCTAACCTACATGAGTGCTTAATGCTCATATGGTCCTTTTTTTAGTTCCTGGAGAAAAACAAAAATCCACTTTGACATCAAAAAGGGACCTAACTTATGTTTGTGATTCAGAGTTATGTCTGACCTCATCTCCATGTGCCAGCGCTGCTCATCATCTCTCTGTCTCTTCAGCACTGCCTTCTGCTTCTGCTTTTTAAGTTTGCTCTCCTGGAGTTTCCTGGCCCGGTTACTGGGCTTAATCTCCACAGGAAGCTCTGGGTTCACCTTCTTCTGCAGGGAAACAGAATAAGACCACATATGTAGAAGGAGGCCTGTAGCATAAAAGCCATCGCACAAGTTCTTCTATACTTCCATTTTTAGTGCCCACTGTATCATTATGTTTATTATTTTGGTTAAAACATTTCACATCTGTTCTAGCTTGTTTACCTTGTACTGCAGTCGGTGCCTTCTTCCTTTCAGGTGCATGTCTTTCGCATTGGGATCATTGAAGCTGCACTCACACAGTTTACAGTGAAATCTGATCACCTTTCCATCCTCGTTACGAATCTGAGACACGAAAGGTTTGGTAATTACATAACAAATGTGGCCAAGTTTCCCCTATTAAGAAATCATTAAATATCTAGTATTTACTAGGCCTTTAATTAGGGCTGGGCAATAAATCATTATCGAAATTCTGACTCTTATCAAAAGATGTGTATAGGTTCATGTCCCTGTAAGAAGCTGTACCACCTTAAGTCGCATGAAAATGTGACAGCCCCATCTAGTGGACAACCTTTGTTTCTGCGTATACCTGTAGTTATCGTCCATTTATCATTATCGAGGTGAAATCCTCAATATATCTTGATATTGATTTTAGGCCATATCGCCCAGCCCTACCTTTAAATGAGATTAGTGCTACCTGAGATTAACAAAGGTCTATGATATAGTGGACTGCTTCACAGTTAGCTACACTCTTTTATTCAATATTTTGAAGAATAATTTAAAATGATCTTTTCCTTTGTGACTTGGTCAGCTGTTTTTACAGACGTAGTTTACCGATGTTTGTGAACATTTTTATAGTACAACCTTGTTTCATTTATTTTCTATACTCTTTTGTAGATTTGTTGCTACACTGGTGATCCCAAACTTGCCACGGAATCTGAATCAGACCAAGTTTCAGCCATTTAATCAAATTATGAACCTACCACGCCCGTGCTTGACAATGTCTCTGTGTGTTACGATGCATCTTCTTACAGCTAAATTGTGCAACACCACCTTCCTTAAATGATCATGTCCGCATGTTCTATTCAGAAATCTTTAAATGTTTAACAAACAGAAGTTTGTATTATATAATGTTGTATTATATGATAAAAATAACATCCCTGTTAGACAACATCTCCCACCCAATGCATGAAGCTATTGTGGAGCTGCTGCAGAGCTCTTTCAGTGACAGACTTCTGCATCCTGTATACACAGAAGAATGTTATCAAAGATCCATCCTCCCAGCAGCTAACCCTACAACGATCACTGCTAAATAAATAAATAAATAAATAAATAAATGTTTTTATTAAAAAAAATTCTTTAGCATCAAATCATCCTTGCTACTTTAGTGATATCAGTTTCTATGATTCAACCTGAGCCCACTCATTATTGCACTTGCTGTTTCCATTCTGTGTAAATATTCCGTCATCTTTTTCTGCAAAATATTTTTTTATTTCTTAAAATGTGTATTTATCCAGTATTTTAATTTTTTATCTTTGAGAATTTAGACTCTTAAGTGTTTCTGCATTTTGTTGTCTTGTTTACTCTTTATTCTTACTTTCCATTTATTTTTTACTCTTATTTTTGTCCCTGTTGTGACTGCAACTGCAGATGTGACACCAAAATGTCCCCACTGAGGGAAAATAATGGTATTTTCTATATTCATGTGATGAACATATAGCTAAAGCTGAACATCACTGTAGGTTATTATGCCCTGAAGAAGGCCGAACGCGACCGAAACACGTCCTCTCATCATCAGTGGTGGACCAATCTGAGATTATGAATTATGTTAAGGCCCATAACAAATGGAAAATCATATTTCTAAAATGTTTTACTTCATGCATTTTACTTTAAAACTAATGTAGATCAATTCTGATTAATTAATGACAAACAGGTAATGTGGTTACATTTTTTCATTTCTCCTCCCACCTCCTCTACATAGTCATGTCCCACAGGCTGGACGTCAGCTTGACCTCCAGCTCTGTCATCATCACTCTGTGGCTCCATCTTCTGGACTAAAGGCTGAACAGGCTCCACCACTTTAGCTGCCACAACGGGTGCTGTTGCTGCTGTTGGAGCACTGGTTGGTTTGATAGCTGCAGGGAAGATAATATTATTGTTTTTAACATTTACTTTTTTATAAAAGGTATGAAGGTCACTAGCTTAAATAGACAATGTTGAAAAAAAAATGATATCCGGTTGTTAAAATATATTGGTGGCTTCGTAACATAACCATAAAAATCAGGTCGCGGATCTAGCGTCTTTGGGGGCAGCCATATTAGACGCTATAGTTTCTTTCTGGCCGGCTCGGGTCCTGCACCTGGCGATGACGTCACACTAGATGACTGGCTGAACATACAACTTACGGATGTTACATTACCACGTTCAAAATCATTTAGGGAGTAAGAAACACCAATTCAATAACAAAGCTGCTAAACTCTTTCCAAAACCTATGTGAAAGAACAGAATTGAAAAAGAGATGCAATATATTTCGGCCGAGCGGTATTGCCGTAGTATGATGACATCATCGGCAAGCGCAGGACCCTGAGCAGATCTGGAAACTACAGCGTCAGAAAACTAGCATCGTCATTGCATTCTCTCAATGGAGTTAACTTAAGAGCCTTCAAAGTCTGAGGAGTCACAACAAGGTCAAGTGCTTTCTGCTCCACAGTTAACAACATTTACCGTAATGCTTTAAACTAGCAACAGTCAGGAAGATATGGAGTAAAACTACCCTGAAATGTATTATACTGCCCCCTGGCGCCAGGAAACTACACACTGCCACAAAGACTTTTATTTTCAAACATCTAAAACGATTCAGAGCCAATTAACTTGCTAATCTATTTGATTTTCAAACAAATACTAAAAATAATCAAACTTACAACTGGGAGTTATTTTGGTAGGAGTTGGTTTCTTGACTGGCAGGGTTGTTTTTACTGAGGCCACTGGTTTGGATGACACTGAGGGGGCTGAAATGGATGTGGACACAGTGGGTTTCCCAGCTGTTGAGGTGGTAACAGCTGGAGCAGAATTCACCAACACCGGTTCAGTCGACGGTATCGGTTTTCCAAGCTTAGTGTGAAGTTTCACCACCTTTAAAAAGTGAGACAGGAAGAAAATCAACATTTTAAAGCTGCTGATGCTTCATTCTTTTCAATTGCTACAGAGATATTTTGTTCTGAGACTTGGCAGCCTTAAATAAAACCTCACATGTGCACACGGCAGTCTGCCAATAATTAGTGAATCCTTTTAAAGGTTTTTATTAGATAAAAAAACATCATAGCTTCACTAACCTTCTGGTGTTTGGCTCCACGAATATGTGCAGCGTAGGCATCCACTCCCGTGCAGGATACGTCGCATAATTCACAGCGTAACTGGGTCTGGACTCCTCTGGGCCCGTTGCTGGTCCCAGTTTGCCCCCCTGCCTTCAGGGCTGCTTCCTTTTTTTTATGCTTCTGGCCCTCGTTGTGCTCTCGGTACGTCTGATGGAAGTAAATCAAACCAGTCAGCAAAATTACAAAATCAGAGCATCTGTGCAATGAAGTGACCCAATATTAATAAAGGTAGTATCGTGTCATATGTCACAGCATATAAATAGTATATTTTCTCATGCATTTATGATGTTGTGCACTAAGCATTTCTGGTAACGTTTCTCTGCACGTTGATTCAGATACGTCATGTTTTTGCTAACCTGAGGTCCTGCACAGCTGATCTTGCAAATGTCACAGTAATGAAGCTGAGGCTGCTTCGGGGGTCCTTTAGGCCGCTGTAGCTTGTTTTGATGAAAGGTGGGTTTTTTATAGGTGTTTCCGGTCAGAGCTGTAACCATGTTGCTCCCAGAGTTACTCCAGGAGGAACTTGTCAGCTGCTTGGGAGGTGGCGGGACAGGGGCCTGGGGCTGTTGGGGTTGGTGAGGTGGAGGTTGAGATTGGGAGAGAGTCTGCTGAGTTGGCTGGTAATAGGAGGGAGTGGATGTAGAGGTGTAGCCAGCAGGGTCATAACCAGAGTAGCTAATGCCTAGAGGTGAGAGAGCAGGATAAAGAGGACAGATTTTCTAAAGAAGAACAGTAAGCAAGCCTGATATGGGTCAAACATGAATAGCTGAATAAAAAGAAAGTGGCCCTTTTAGTTTCTCTGGGGAAAGCACAAAGCCTGACATCCAGCATTCTGATGCTGGTGCGGTGCGGAACGGCAGTGGAAAGGTTTAGTCGCGAGCTTCGCTGCATGCCAGTACACACCAGGAGAATCTCCAACTCTGTGGAACGAATTGCCACTGAGCATTAGGCAGGCACCATCCCTTCAAGTCTTTAAGTCTCGTTTAAAGACTCATTTTTATTTGATTGCGTTTTAGCGCTAGGATCATTTGAATTGCCCTAACATTATGGTTTTAACTATTCTTCTTTTTAACCCAGATGCTTGATTTTATTTTTTCCGACATTTGTTTTTTTTATCGATTAGTCTTATTCCGATATCTCTCTTTATCTGTAATAGTGTTTGCTTGATATTTTATGATTTTATGTTTTTATCCTGCTTTTATGCCCATGTACTGGGAATGTTTTTCTTTTAATGATGTTGTTCAGCACCTTGGGCTTCCGATAATGTTGTAGAAGGTGCTATACAAATAAAATTTGATTGATTGATTGAAGTGGCTTATCCGCCATCCTCCACATTTGACTTGCGAGAACACAAAATCCCCTTCATCAGAGCAGATACAGTATCAGTTTTGTCTCAACTCACCAGAGTAGGAGGTGGGTGCAACTGTGGAGCTGAACGAGGAGCCAAGGGTGTAAGATGAGATGGGCGTTGGAGGCTGCTGGACGCTGCTGGATGCTGGGTAAATGTTGTAGCTGGTAGACACGGCGCTGGAGGGCACCAAAGGTTTTAGGGCAGTCACCTGCCTCTGGGGAAGAGGGGGCTGGTTGTACACAGTGGAGGGAGCTGGGCTGTATGCACTCTTCACTCCTACTGATACTGAAAGGAAAGAGAGAAGCAGAATAGGATGCAAGAGCAAACACGCCATGAGACACAGACTGCATCCTCCGAGTAGGCCCATTTCTAGGGTGGGGGTGGTAGGTGAGCCAGGATACTGATTTCACTAGCAAATAAGGACTAAACTGCAGCTAATGGACTGTGCACTTCAGAAAAACTATACTGGCTTTCCTTTAGACAGGTTGAATGTGTCGGAGTCTCACAAATTTGTGACCGAATTCTGCTTTGAGCAGTAAAATGAATAAAAGATTAACTGTTGGTCGTTTTAGAAACAGGACATTTATCGGTTTGCTACTTCTCTCCTCGTGTGATGCAGAACTAAAATAAACCCTAAACCTAACAATTTACCAGCTGTCTCATTTAGTAATAGTAGATCAAACTCAAGTGACTCACCAGTCTGATAGTAGTTATCCGTGGGTGTCCTCTGAGCTGGAGCGATGCTTGTCTGGTAATATTGTTTGTTGTCATAAGTCGTCACAGTCGGCACATAGCTATAATTTTCCTGTAGCAAGTAATAAATGTGTTATTTTGAGCTTAATCTGAGGCCAAATGATTTTAATATTTTAAGTATCTTTACTTGCACCAAAATAATAATTGTTAAATACAATTTACACAATTAAAATGGAGAAAAGCAAGAATGATGACCGACACAAAAGAGACTGACCGTGTCAGAGTATACCTGGTACGTCTGAGGGGTGGTGGTGGGCTGTGGTGGATCTGGCTGCCTGAAGGTGTAGTCTGGAGGTGCTTGGTGGCTCTGATAGGTCGGGTATGGGGCTGAGGCCACAGGTCGGGCTGCCTGGACGGGAGCTGGAGAGTAGGACGCCGTCACAGCATGGGCCACGGTGGGAGCCTGCTGCACGCTGTATGTGGCTGTAGACGGGTGTGAGTAGGCCGGGGGGGGCTGGGTACTAAAGGAAAGTAGAACAGGAGAAGGGTTTTAGAAAAACAAAGCAGCCATTAACACAGATTTCCTTCAGTTCAGGTGTTTTAAGCTTCCTGATCAGAATTAGTTTAATGCTCCCATGTTTCAACAGGTCAGAGGCAAAATGGAAGCATAAAAGTAAAGCAGAACATTAAAATTGCATCCTTTCTTAGACAGCAGTTTCTACCATCAACAACTTACATTATCAGGATTTCTGTTGAGCTTTTAGTGGCAGGAAGGACAGCCACATGACAGGGCTAGAAAATATCCCCAACAGATTCTGAAAGCTCTAAAAAAGCTTTAATATGAACACTTTATGTCTTTCATGCCATTTTCTTGTGCTCTTGACATTTATCATATTCTAACTGAATTCCAAACATTTGGGTCCCTTTAAATGATCATTGAAAGATGAAAAATCACAGTCTTTCTTGCTTATCCGGGGTCGGGCGGCGGGGTAGCCTAAGCAGGGAGGCCCAGACTTCCCTCTCCCCAGCCACTTGGGCCAGCTCCTCCGGGGGAATCCCAAGGTGTTCCCTGGCCAGCTGAGAGACATAGTCCCTCCACCGTGTCCTGGGTCTCCCTTTAGGTCTTCTCCCAGTTGGATGTGCCTGGAAACCTCACCAGGGAGGCGCACAGAAGACATCCTTACTAGACGCCCAAGCCAGGAGGAGGAGGAGCAGCAGGTCTACTCCGAGCCCCTCCCGGATGACCGAGCTTCTCACGCTATCTCTAAGGGAGAGCCCAGCCACCCAGCGGAGAACTCATTCCGGACGCTTGTATCTGTGATCTTGTTCTTTCGGTCACTACCCAAAGCTTGTGACCATAGGTGAGTGTTGGAATGCCGACCGGTAAATCGAGAGCTTTACCTTCCGACTCAGCTCTCTCTTCACCAAGACAGACCGGCTCAACGCCTGCATCACTGCAGACGCATCACCAATCCACCTGACGATGTCATGCTCCATTATTCCCTCACTCATGAACAAGACCTTGAGACACTCATACATCTCCACTTGGAGCAGGACCTGGCACGGAGAGGGCATTCTACCCCTTTCAACTCAAGACCATGGTCTTTCCCGTGTTAGAACTGAAATGCTGCAGCAGTTCTATATTTCTGTATCATTGTCCGGTCATCATGCTTTTGTTTAACAGATTAACTATTAAGTTTAACATCTGGACTTTGAAAAACACACAGAAAAATAACAAAAATAGGTCAAATAAATGCATTTTCAATCAGATTACCTAAAGGTAATGATAAAAATTTAACCCCAAAAACAGGCGTGCTGTCAGTCAGCTATAGAGAAGGATCCGGGAATGTGCAAAGATGGAGAACAGAAAAATGGAACGCATGAGATTTGTGGTGTAAAGACAATATTCCTGTCAGCCAGGTTTGTTGGCTTGAAGCATGGCCGCGATATTAGATGGAACACAAAAGCTTCACAGTTCACCAACCACAGAATAATTTATAGCACATTACGTTGATTACTTGCCAACCTGTCAGACTGATGAATCAGGCAAACTTGCCCAACAATCTCCTTGCGACTGCCACGCTAATTGGCTGTGTCTCTTAACAACCACAGATATTTATTTACCTGCTTCACTCTGAGCCAAAACATCATTGTTGAGAGAGCTCTGTGATCCAAACGCTTAATCCTCAAAAACACCAACCAGAACCAAAACCTCACCTGCAGCACAACAGGCGAGCAGCAGGCAGTTTTTTGCAGTGCTTGAATCCCCCCGTCACGTTACTAGTTTGTATTGCCGCTCAACAGAGGATGGCCACACTGCGGGGGTCCATTTAAACCGTGTATCGGTAAATGCTGGCCTGCGAGTTCGCTCAGCTAACGTTAGCAATCGAACAGAGGGTCAAGCTAATCCTTAACAGGCCACTGAAACGTCACTAATAACCGTGTTTCTTCCAAAGTACAACAGCGACCGGTTCACGCGACTTAATATGTATAATGACAACGACTTCACGACGTTAATTTACCTGTATTGCGGACCGGTACCATGTGTGAACCCGAAATAGTTGCTAGCAGCCATCTTTTCGGCTCCGGTACAGCACAGCACCGTAGACCGCCCGGAGAAAGCTACAGTGAGGCGTCAAGATAGTTCTTCTCCTAACTGTTTCTCAAAAAAGAGCGGTAGACAAAAATAAAATATCTTTTGAATTTATGTTGAGAAATATTTCTATACATCAATTTTGTATTCATTTTCCTTTTTTTAAATCATTTTGTTGTTTAAGGATTATTTTTCTGAATGTAACTTCAGTTCCGCCTTTAAGCTTAGCGAATACGGAAGCAGCTGGAGGTGTACCATCTTGATTTGTTCATCTCTCATCATTTCTACGGAATGGTTGGATGTCACTGGGAGGACATTTAAATTGTCCTTTTATCAGTGTTATCGCTTCTTTTAAAACAAAAACATATTTTATTTCGTAATAATAATAATAATAATAATAATAATAATAATAATAATATTGTTGTTGTTATTATTATTATTAACCTGGGTTTGATTAACACTTGAGACATTTGAAACTATTTATATTAAGAACTGTGCGAAGTTGTCAGCACACATTGTGCAGCACAATGCTGGGAAATGTGACTGGCTGAAAGCAAGTGAGGTAAAGAAATGCATAATTCATATTTTGTGGGGACATGTGGTTTGGTAAGTATTAAAGAGACTGGGGAGAGAGAGAGAGAGAGAGAGAGAGAGAGAGAGAGAGAGAGAGAGAGAGAGAGAGAGAGAGAGAGAGAGAGAGAGAGAGAGAGAGAGAGAGAGAGAGAGAGAGAGAGAGAGAGAGAGAGAGAGAGAGAGAGAGATTGGTGGGGATGAAGATGCTGTTGCCATGGAACAGCAGCCACATAGACAACCAGTGAAACCCAGAGTGGGATTATCCAGTGGAGGAAAAGGACACAGACTTTTCCCCAAGCTGCTGCAGGGATTCATTTGCTGCACCTGTGTATGGTTTTGGATGTAAAGAAAATGCTTTGAAACCAATATTGTAGTGGTGTGAAAAGATGTGCTTGGATCAAAATTGAAGAGAAAACCGAAAGAGAGCTGTGCCAGATCAGGATGCCAGAGCAGATGCATTCCCATTAAAGGAATGTTGTGTCCTGGTGGGGTCGATAGGAGCTGAGAAGCAGGCTGTCGTCTCCCTCTTCACGGCGAATCTTTCCCCAACAAAGGTGGTCAGGGGTGGAAGACAGGAGGGGGGCATCCAGAACAGAGGTTCTCCCTGTCTTCAGGCACCTGCTGCCGACACCGAGGACACTGAATGACTGTCAGTGGATGAGTGTGTGTATGTGCATCTAAATCAATGAAAGACGGCCAGACGGAGAGAGAAATTCGGACTGGCCGATGCTTCTCTGTTACTGTGGGAGACTGAGAGTTTCTCCTCTCAAATCGTTTCATCTATTGAGGGGGAAGAAGGCAGGCAGGTCCAGAGGAACCATTTGAGGGGATAATTTTTCATGTGAGTAATGCTTTTGACCTAATGTCATATTTTAATTCTGATTGCAAACACGTTAGATTGTCTGGTCTCTATTGGGGTTTTTATTTAGGAGCGACCTAAAAAGACGTGGATCCATTTTACTGTATGCAGCACACATATGGAGGATGATTCTTGATTCTGCAGAAAGGTCCTTTACATCCTGAAATTTTCCCGGCAAAGCGTGCATCACCTTTCACTGACATGTGAATGAGTTCGATCTCAAAGGAAAAAAACTGAAGAGTATTGTGATCTATTTTTTTTTACCATCATCTTATCAAAACAAATGTCATTCAATTCCTTTCAGTATTTTCTAAAAGTCTTAACCGATCCATGATTTTTTAAAGAAGTCAGTGTCCTTTAATGGCTGATTTCCAGCATTCCAGACTTTATTAAATTTGTTTTCTTAGTAGATGTAGATCTATTAAATTGGCTGTATTCCTCCTGTGTGATGAAAGTCCTGTGAAAATCACTTGTTTCCTCTGTGCAGCAATTGGCCATAGTCCAATTAATTTTTTTCCCACGAGGGTTTCTGCCAAAACAACCTACATCTTTCTACTCCTAGTAATTATATCAATTGAACTCAATCTGCTTCAGGTTTAATTGTTCATAATGTGTTGAACTGCTGACAGAACTACACTGACAAGTCACAACGGATAATGGCATTGTGTGTCTCCATACCGACACAGAGAGAAAAGTATAAACTAACCTCAAGACTAGGCATTTCTAGAGGTGGGGCAGCAGGGCTTTGGCCCTTGCTGAAATCTGATTCGCCCCCTGATACACCCTTTCTCTTTCACTCATCTGTCCTCTATAGGTGGATGCTATTCTAAATCCAAACACTGGTGGTGCTAATGAGTAAAATAGGAATTTCCAGCGTGACGTTTTGTGTAAGGATGTTGGACTAATACTTGGCCCATCTCTAAATATTGTGTCCCCTTGGTGGCCCTGTAATCCTAGATCTGCCACTGTTTCTTTAGCATGCAGCCAAAAGAGACCTGTGCTGCGTTAATAATGCATTTCAATAGGCTGTTGATACTACTATTGCCTCACAGCAAGAAGGTTGCAAGTTTGAATCCTGCATAGAGTTTGGATGCAACAATAAAAGCATCTGCAAAGACTAAACATAAAGGAATATAATTTTATATTTCAGAGCAGAAGAGGAGTGCATACGTAAATGTTTCATTCATATTCTGTTTTGCTCAAAACTTTTAAGGTGAGATGAATAAATGCTCCCTGAAGAGAAGTTTGTCTTTCATGACAAAATACCTCTGTGTGAATGGAAATCAAAAGGCACTAAGGAAGGATTAAACTGGAATGCTGCGCCCCACACCAGCTTCCTGAAATTATTAGCACCATTTGACTTTGTGGGGAGCCCAGACAAGAAAATGGGCTCTGTCCTTGAAAATCACATGTCTATCACATGTGCTCCTGTGGGCAGGCTGATGGAAACCACGTGACCTGAGGTGGTTTCAGATACTTTAATTCAATGAAAGGGAGTGAATTGTTTGAGCAAAATCCTCTCAGTTTGCTGACTTTTCCCCCGTCACTAGGGTCTTAGACAACACCATGTTTTTGCAGTGTTGCCTTTCAGCTGCATACACTAACATTATGAAACCATGTTTCTCTTTAATTGTTTTAATAATACATTCCTTTTCACTCCTTCAGGCTCCTGCTCTCCCCTGAGGGATGGGCACCACTGAGGCAACTCTACGGATGGAGAACATGGAAGTAAAAGATGAGTGGCAGGATGAAGACTTCCCCAGGTGGGACCTCTTTGCAGGAGGACATGGTTAAAAAACATTTAAGCCCTTTTAAAGGCTTTTTTGTTTTTCTTTTTTGGTAGAACAGTGAGTGAAAATTCAGCAAACATTAAAAGAAAACCTTTAAAAGACATCAAAATCCTTGAGAATGACTCTGAAAGATTGCACAAAAGTCAAAAAGTAAAAAAGAAACCATGGATGTTTTCAAACTTTTACACATTTCTTTATGTACTGATGATTATCTTTTTCAGGATTTTTCTAAGTTGGTTTGTGTATTTACTAGCAGCTATTTTCTTTTTTTTTACTAATAATTCAATTTTTTAAATATAGATAGTCAAAATGTACCTATTTTTAATATTGCATCAATTTGACTGTTGCAATCTTTTGACAGATGTTCTGAAAAGTACAAGAACACAATGATGAACCAAAGAAGCAAAGCAAAGTGCTTAATTGAAGATTATTGAATTTTACCTGATAAACAAACAATAGTTGATGTGTTGAGATTGAGACCGTACAGTGCAAAAATGCAAGGCAGCTTCATTTGTATTGCACATTTCATGCACAGAAATGAAGATTAAAATCAACACGACAGCACAATGAAAATACACAAATAAATTTAGACCAAATTAAACACACAAGCTAATTTCAGATTTAAGAATCAGATAAAAGACCAAGTTAAAGGGTGAGCAGTTACAGTGCAGAAGGCGCAGCATGAGAAACGTTCATTCAAAGGCAGATGAATACATGAAAGTTTTCAATTTAGATTTAAAAGTTGGGGCAGATTTGAGGTCATAAGGAAGCTGATTCTATTTGTGTGCAGCATGGTAGCTAAAAGCAGCTTCACTCTGTTTGGTTCTGACCCGGGTTCTACCAGATGACTGTTTCCTAAGGATCTCAGAGACCTGCTGGATGTTTTTACTGGAAGGAGAGCCAACATAAATTCTAGCCCCATGCCCTTGAGTGATTTATAAACTAGTAGAAGCACTTTGTGTCATGGTCTGCATCTGCCCCTTCCTTCATGTGCCTCCTGGTGTTCTCCATCTCTCTCTAGATTCCCTTTTGTGTCTTTTAGCGCCCTCTTGTGTCCTTTGTCTGCATCTCAGTTAGGTGTCTTATGTTGTAGGCTTTAAAATTATTCCTCCCTGGTCCCGTGTCATCCCATTCATCCCCAGCCCCTCCAGGTCTTCATTCACATTCTGTGTCCTTGTAGCCCCAGCCTCTTTGTCCCCAGCTCAGCGTATGTGTGTGTGCTTGTCCATTCCCCAGTTCTGTTTATATGGGTCAGAGAGAGAGAGAGAGAGAGAGAGAGAGAGAGAGAGAGAGAGAGAGAGAGAGAGTGTGTGTGTGTGTGTGTGTGTGTGTGTGTGTGTGTGTGTGTGTGTTGTCCTTCCCGCAGTCTTTAGGTTTAGTTTTGTGTTTTAGAGTTTTTAGGTTATTTGGCCCTACTCAGATTCTGTTTTCCCATTTTGATAATTATTTTCACCTGTCTTCCCTCCAGCCCTCACTCCACACTCCTGCTGCCAATTTCCCTAATGACTCCTCCCTGTTATTTAAGCCCTGTCTTGCCTTTGTCATGTGTTGGTCCATTGTTTGTGGTTATTCTGTCAGTCTCTCGGTTCTAGCTCTAGTGTTTCTTGGGTCTTCTCGTGATTTCTAGTGTTTTTGATCTCTAGGTTATATTTTTGGACATTTTGGATTACTGGCTTCAGCCCTTTTGGATTTATCTTTGTTTTGGACTCATCCTGCAAATAAAAGGATTTTCTTATATATCATTTCCTGCCTCTTGTCATCCTGGGTTCTGCATTTTGGGTCCCACCATCCCGTACTGTGACACTTTGAAATGAATTCTGTAGTTTACTGGTAACGATTTAAGAACAGGGGTGATGTGCTTGATTCTTTTGGTTCTTGTTTTGGTTCAGTTGCTTCACAGCTTTTTGGAAAGATCAGACAAAAGACCATTGCAATAATCCAGCCTGCTGGAGATAAACTCATGAAGGAGTTTCTCTATAGGTCTTGTCTGGACATGAGACCCCTGAGTCTTTAAAATGTTGATTATAGCCATAATGGGACCAGTGAAGCTCAAGTCTGAATCAATTTTGAAAAAAGGTTCAGTGGTCCCTCCCCCTCCTCTCCTCTCGAGGAGGCAGGGATCCAGGGAGCAGGTGCAGCTCTGGCTGTAAATGATCTCAGGCTACGTCATGTGACGCATCGACAGACAACAAAACCACTCCAGGAAAATGGAGGCAGGTTTTGGCTAACAGACAGGCAAAGACGGAGCCTGCAGCAACTAGAAGATACAGAAAGATGCTCAGTTTAAGTGTTCATATTTATGATCAGGGAGGACAGGGAATGAGTTAGCAAGTTCACTAGATATCAAAGAGCTATTTTTGCATCAGCACTCTCGTAAAGAAGCAGTGTGCTCTCTACAGCAGGTAAGCTCCACGTTTATTTACGTTTGTGAAAATGAGAATCTAAAAATAGGAGAATGGAATAAGATTGTTTTTGTTAAAGGGCAAAAGTGCTGATGTTTTAATGGAGGTGGCTTCATTTTTGACAAAAACAACAGCTCATCAGTTATCTCTGCATGGGTTATCTCTGTGGAGTCAGACTGCTGCCTGTTTCGTTGAGATGAAGCCAACATTATGGATTGAAGAGACGCACACATTGTCACACTTTGTCCTCCTGATGGTTGGCCTTCCCAGTGATGCAGTGAAAACCCAAAGCTGTTTCCCTTTTTAACAATTCAGATCAGGTTTTTCACTTTGTCTTTTGATCCCACGTTAGAATCACTGCATGACGCATTTGTGTTGGGACATTTGCTCTATGTTACCTGATAAACACTTGCTGCACAAACACACATAAACATGCTCTTGTTTCTTTGTATTCTGAGGCTTTTTTCTTTGTCTTCCATTTCTCCTCCATTTCTCCTCCATTTCTCCTCTCTGCTCTGACTCACACCCTGCCCAGCAGCTCTATGATCTTCATGTCTCCCAAGAGACAAGTTGATCTCTTCTCTCCTTTTTTGTACTTCTAATCCAGATCTGTAACAACACCCACGTTCTGTTCTGGTTCATTAAACAGCATACTTGTCACATTGCATTTTATAGTTTATAGCTAAAGAGCAAGTCACCCCCTACCAGAGTCTAGCTCCACTCCCATTTCCTGCTTGAAAAATGCGCCAAAAGGAGGCGTTGTATGGCTGGCTGAGAGGGCGGAGCCTTTAACTCATTCGCTGATCGGTGAAACCCTTCGCTGCGAGCATTTCTCACCGTTTTTGCTGTTTTTTTTTTAAGTCACAGAACGTTGTGCGCTAGGATGATGTTGACGCCAAAACAACCAAAAATAACCAAAACAAAGCAGAAACTCACCTCTTACATCAGGAAGAATCTGCGTGTTTCGAGCTCTATTCGTTCTTTCATAACCTGTTGTTGAATTGTGATCGGCAGAAGCTTTTCCGGTTCACGACTCACTTTTTTTTAACAGCAGCGGCCCAAAACGATCTCCTAACACGTGGATTTTCTGCTTCCTGATCACGTGACGTGTGACGTACGTGGATGAAGATCGGCTTTAGAGCTGAGATGTTTGTTCTCACGGTGCGGGGGCTCGTTCCGACGTCCACACAGTAAAAAAAATGCAAATGACGACTTTAGTCGTCAATGGCAGTGAATGAGTTAACAACACACACAGGAATAGACATAGATACACAGTGGCATTGTGACATCATAATGTACCATCTAATGTCATAGTGTGCCTCTTAGCCTATAGCCATGGGAGATTTAAATTCAAATGAAGTGCAGAGTTTTTCCCTGACGACGGCGCAACACTGACAGTTTTAGGCAGAAAATTCAAATTTTAATTAAGATGCACTAAAGTGCCAAATTGCTGACTACACGTGTCTACAGCACAATCAGAAACTCATTTATATAGTTTATCAGCCAGAAAAAAAGTTGATTTGGGGGGTGACATTGTCTTTAAAGACTGTTACACAGGATCGGGGGCTTACTAAGACATCTTTTCCTTGCAGACCTCTTCCAGAGTACGGTGACATGGATCCAAATCGTGGTCTCACAGACAACAGAGCGTGTAAGTAAAAACCATCACTGAAGGGTCAATAATGGGAATAAAACAGCAGCTATTTGAGGAATACCGTAAAGCTTCTCCTCCTTTATCTCCTTGCTGTAGCTCCTCCTAACTCGCTGCACATGAGTCCACCTGGAGGAGGAGGTGTCTCCTCACCTCACCGTAAACGGCGCACACTGGTTGCCCCGGAGATGAACCTGTCATTGGATCAGAGCGAAGGTTCTCTGCTGTCAGATGACTTCTTGGACACACCGGATGACCTGGACATCAACGTGGATGACATAGATACACCGGATGAAACTGACTCACTGGAGTTTATCACTAATGGGAATGACCTGGAGTGGGAAGGTGCGAGTTCGTTCTCTTTTGTATTCCTGATGTTGGTTCAGTAATCTCAAACAAATAATTAAAAACATGCCTCGCTTTTGTCAAATTAACAAATCAGATTTTATTTATATCGCCGTTGTGCGCATAACTAACTGCTAAGTGTGCCCCTGTCCAGATGACACACCGGTGGCCTCAGCCAAAGCAGGTCCTCGTGATGGCACAGAAGAGGCGGGTGAGGATGCAAATGCCAACAATGGGCGTCTGTGGAGGACGGTGCTCATCGGGGAACAGGAGCATCGTATCGACATGCAGATCATCAAACCGTACCTCCGAGTCATCACGCACGGAGGTCAGTGTCAGTCCGACATCTGCAAGCATCTCAGAAGCACACACAGAATCCCTTTTTCTAACTTTGTTCTTCATCAGGTTACTATGGAGAAGGCCTGAATGCCATCATCGTGTTCTCTGCTTGCTACCTGCCTGACAGCAGCTGTCCAGACTACCACTACATCATGGAAAACCTCTTCCTGTATGCACGCTGATCTCAGCCCTCGTGTAACAATTCTGATGTAAAACCACAATAATAACGAATCCTTCGACCTCCAGGTACGTGGTCAGCAGCCTGGAGATGCTTGTGGCTGAAGATTACCTCATCATCTACATGAACGGTGCCACTCCTCGTAGTAAGATGCCAGGAATCAGCTGGCTGAAGAAATGTTACCAAATGATTGACAGAAGGTGGGGGAAATCATGAAACGTTTCTGAATGAAAGGATGTTTCATTTTAATTCACAATAATCATATCTTAATGATACTCTGCTATTTTTAACTGTTGCAAATTGTCCACCGGCAGACAGGTGTGCATGATGCTGATGCTGAAAGGAATGACAGAGACTAGAGGATGTCTCATCTTGTTAATCAGTATAAACAAATGGACTCATGGCCTTTATTTTCTGACTATGCCTGTTACAGATTGAGGAAGAACCTCAAGTCTCTGGTCATCGCTCATCCCACTTGGTTCATACGAACGGTTCTGGCTATATCCAGACCTTTCATCAGGTAACGTCATCAGCCGTACAAACACCTTTCCATCATGAACTAAAATGCAAAAGTATTCCAGGGCAGAATAAAGCACATTATGGATTTATGTAAATACTGATGAAATACCGTGAACTATAAAGGTTTGATTTGAATGCTGAATGTCTGGGATGGATAAATTGATCCAAATACAATGACAAAAATACAATAGAAATCACTCCAAGTGTGGAACAAAACCTGTCATACGTTCAGGTGCTAAAATATAAGCGGGTTTTAATCTTGATGAAATCCAGGTCATCACTCATCTCAGTCCAAAAACGTTGTATTATTGCAAGGCCAGACTAGACGAACAAAGATTAAGCAGAGTTCAACATACCATTTGCCATTACACTCTCTGACTATGGGTAAATAATTCATGTTTGCTCATCTGCTTATCAGTCAAAAGTGAAAAATGAACAATAGTCACAGCTGGAACAACATGAGTCTGGAAAAGTATTCCTAATTTCTGTTTTGCTTTCAAATGAACAAAGCCTTCCGTTCGTCCCTTTGTCCTCTGCAGCGTGAAGTTCATGAATAAGATCCAGTATGTCCACAGTCTGGATGAACTTGCGCAGATTGTCCCCATGGAGCACGTCCATGTTCCTGACTCTGTGGTGCAGTAAGTATCTGTAACCGCTAGATGGTGGCAGTCTGCCGTAGGAGAGCATTTCTGCAGTCTGAAAAATATGTATGTAAATTTAACAAATAATTCCTCTCATAATCCTATTTGAATAAAAGTAAAGTGGGATTACTCTTCTAGCCTCGTGTAAGGATTGGAATGATGGGATTTATGATTCGAGGTAATAAGAATGTTACTTTTTTCCCCCCAGATTTGATGAAGAGAGGCTTAAAGCTCGGAGGGAAAGGTAAAGGAACGATTTTGTCTTAGTTTTGACAAACGCTACTCTCTAAGCCTCACCTCTGTTTCTCAAATTGGATTATGCTGAAACTGCAAAAGGGGCTTAAACATTCATCTGAAATAACTGGCTGAAAAAAATCTCTTAAAAAACGCAGATGTCAGCAAAAACGTAATGTGTTTGTGTGTGTATGTGTTTGTGTGTGTGTGTGTGTGTGTGTGTGTGTGTGTGTGTGTGTGTGTGTGTGTGTGTGTGTGTGTGTGTGTGTGTGTGTGTGTGTGTGTGTGTGTGTGTGTGTGTGTGTGTGTGTGTGTGTGTGTGTGTGTGTGTGTGTGTGTGTGTGTGTGTGTGTGTGTGTAGGATGGAGCAGGAGCAACGACAGCAGGGGCAGCAGTCAGTCCCACAGCAACCAATTAAAAAGTCTGAAAGGTAACAGGTCATACAGAATTTTCCATTCTGCCTGATGCTCCACAGTGGATAACTGCTGGAGTTGAGACCCAACTTAAGGTTGTAGGGTGGGGGACATGCATTCTTCACTCAGCAATGCCACAAAGTTTGCTTTACTTGCCGTTTATGTTGATTGTGTTGTTCTACTTTCTGTCTCTTAAAGATTATATTTGTTGTTTCATTTTCAGGCCAAAATATATGATTGTTGGATTGTGAGAAGGACAGAACTGTGAAGGTGAAACAAACCTCTGTTGTGTTTCAGCCAGAGGATGACTCTCTGTGCGGTTTAATGCCTCGATCACATTACCTTCCATGGAGCTGATATGTAGTTTATGTTGAGGTGATGGATCACCCTGCAGGCTCCTTGCAGCATAATGGTGGATTGATTTTCTCATGCTGTAAATTCAGTTCAGGAGCTTGTTTCTGATTTGATGATGATGCACAAACCACCCAGAGCAACTGTGTACAATTCAAAATGCAAAGTGGTTCTTTTGCACAAAAAAATTAAATAAAAATATGGATTATATGGATATGTTTAAGAATGAGCACCATCAGAAAAAAACGCTATGCACACAGATTTGTGTGGATAAGCTGTCTCAGATGTAGCTACTGTGTGCCAGATGCCTTCATCTCTGTTATTTTACTTGATGACTTCTGCATCACTAGGCCTTTTAAACTGTACTAACATGCATTAATGAGCTGCTTGTGTGTTCTTTCTGGTTTCATTTGCTTGTGTTTTTTATTCCACTGGTTCTTTATTGAGCGCCTCAGCCCTGCTGAAAGCTGATCCAGATGAACAACATAACAAAAACCAATATTATCAATGGCTTTCATTGTTAGTTCATACCATGAGTAGACTGAATCCAACATTAAATGCACAACTACTCTGCAAATCACATGTATTATACAATGTATATTTAACAATTAACCACCAAAGCTTCTACATGGGAAAAAGTGGAACAAAGAATTATTATAATTAAATAAGGACTGCTTTATGATCATTTACAGCTTTCTGTCTAGGTCTACTTTAAAGAAGAAAAGTATCCAGAAACAGGCTTTATGCCAGACAACAACCTGATCACATTTCAGATGAATACATGTATGCACCTTGACTCTTAACCATTTATTCAGGACATTTTATTGATTAAACACACTTTATGGTCATTTGATCAGCATAAAGACCCCTTCATAAATCACTATTATGTGTTCAACATAATGTAGCGAAAGGACAAAAAACTAATAATTATTGCATTATACTTGTGTCCTGCTGATAATTAATTTGCACCACAGGATGTAGTACATGATATTTTAGCATGACTTGTTTCTGTTGGGATCTGGAAAAAGTCAGGAATGCAGCTTCATTTCTGCGTCTGAAGTGCCGTCTGTTCTCTCAGTTTGTCTCATTGCCTTTCTGTGGGAAGAAAGTTGTTCAAGTGTGTTCATAGTGATGTAATCAAGTTTAGGCGAGATCTGACATTAGTGCACTTTGCTAAACTTTGATGGAGCAACATCAACTTTTGGTGTGTTTGGCTGGGTGCGTGTTGTTGAACCAAAGTAAATTCTAAGTAGTGAACAAATTAAAAGCTTCTTTTTTATGTTTGTTTGACCTTTTTTTAAATCCTTAATCCATAAGGAAACTAATAGTTTTGACTGTAAAAGCACAACACGACATTCATGACATCTGTCTGCTGTAAAATGTTTGCTCAGATTCAAATGATTACATATGCATGATCATTACTCATGGCCGCCATGCTGTAATAAAGTCCCTCTCCAGAAACTCTTCAATGTTTTTGTTTTTAATATATCATCTTTTATTAGTTGAATTTAAGATATATAAACATGTCTGCCATTAATTTAAATGTGTTCAAAAATATTAAAAAAATTTCCCTCACTGAAAATTTTATTTTAAGTGGTGCCAGTTTATTTGTTTCTCCTGTACATTATGCAATGTTGCCCCTTGCTAAAGAGGTTCATAAAGTGTATATAAATACATACACAGTCAAAGGAGGAGCACGCACATGCAGAGCACATAAACACATCCTGATAAAGGCTAAATGTAAGCAAATGCCACAAGAGACTGTGACTCTCCATGACTCAATATATTTAACCTCCAAACTCAAACATTGAAGAAAACATGAAGAAAGGTTGTATTTCATTTCAAACTTGCAAAAGAGAGTTGTTGTTAGTGGGAGTTCTTCCATATCTGTTTCTGACAATGTTCCCAGTGGAAAGTTTTGTGGATTTTTGTTTGGAAATAATGAGCTAAATGGTATTAGCAATTTAATAAAAAAGTTTATTCATTAGTTGTAATCAGCCTATATGTACTAATAGTTGTTTGCATTGCCACGTTCTCTCCTTTTGTTTGTTTGTTGCACATGAAGGTTATTTAGTGTCCAACTCCTCAGAGGATGATCTTTTTATAGAAAAAAATAGAAAATGTATTTATTGTCCATAAGTAGGGAAATTTTGGTGTGAGAGAAGCAAAGATGGCAATATATATTCGTAAAAATATCTAAAAGACTGAATTGAGTTTATAACATTTGATAATCTTGTGCAATAGCAGATTTTATATATTTTTTAAACCTGTTGGACCATGGTGAAATTAACATGAACTACGTCTTTTATTAAACCGGGGATTCCTTTAATGTTATAAACATAATCATAACCAGTAAATTGTCACAGCTTGGCTGCTGCATCAGTTTCCCAAACACATTGGTTTGGAATATAGCTGATTTCTCCTCCCAAAAACAAATGACACATGCATGGTGCACACACAGAGTAGCATTGAGGAGGATGCAAACAATCTACAATTTACATTATAGCAGTCAATGTATTGGCTTTAAAGATGGGTGCGCCAAACACCAGGTGGAGCATCTTTCAGTACATGTTGCTCTTGAATCTGTGACATATGCCCCAATTAAAATGTTTTCTTTTTAAATGTAGGCTCATCCTCCCCATGTCATTAAAAGCTCACATTTCATCTCACTCTTCCTGACACACATAAAATAACATATTTGGATATTTGTCAAAAGGCGGTGCAGACGCAAAGTAACCAAAATCTTCTTGGCTGAAGAAAATAGCGGGTAATAAGTTTCCAGCTGTTTATGCTTTACACCTTGAACACATTCAAGCTTTAAATGCTGGTTTGAATATAATACATCTGGGTGGCAATTTCTCCACATTTCTTTATACAGTTGTATCATTTACATTAGAAAAAAACTTAAAATTTAAATACATTTCATTTAAATTGAGATTTGTTCGAATAATTGCTGTTCATGGAAAGATGAGGAAATAAGTTGACTGTACAACAGTATTACACAGCACCACACATGACACAGCAGCAGTTATTTTTATGTATACAACTATCTGACACCATCAATGGTAGTTTTCCACAGCTGCTGTTAGCTGGCTCGGGAGTACGAGCTGTCTCCGTTGAGGACTGGCGGTTTTGGCTTGCCATACCATGCAGGTGCAGGAAGCGGCTTGGCATTCCGGCGTCGTGATTGGCTGGTGAGGAGGCGCTGCGCAGACACTGATTGGCTGCTGAGGAGAGGAACGTACGAGCGGAAAAATGCACGAGCACGTTGCGTTTGACCCATCACGAGAACGCCCCGTGCCTGCGTGTGCCATGACGTCAAACGACGCACAGTGGATATAAACTGGAAGGCTCGCGTGGAAGTTCAGAGAAGCGACAACAGAGAGGGACTTTGAGATGCTTCTGCTTTGAAAAAAAAAAAAAAAAAACTTAAAGAAATACTATTGAATTACTTAAATTTTAGTCTCACACCTTTGTGCTCGGGAGTTTTTATTCAGCTCGGGCTGAGAGACGAAGCGAAGAAGATGAAGTACATTATAGGAATTGGCGGGTACGTGTAATTCTGCTTTTTATTCGGTCTAAAGTTTTTGTGTGTTTTAACAAATGCTCCATAAGAAAAAGCTGAGTGTCGAGTCTTTTACGCTACCTGGGCCAAGTGAACTAATATAAAATACATCGGTTGTTTATGGTGTGTTTAGAAATGCGTGGAAGCGTTTCCTGCTCAAATCTGGGTTTGTGTTAAATGTTGTGACCACTAGAAGTTTTCTGAAGCCGAGTTTAATCCCAACATGTCCTTTCATCAGCAGCTCGCCAAAAAACAGTTTAAAGTCACGTCCGGTTTGCCTGGTTTGTTGTCATAAATCGAGCGGGATTTTTGAAAATTCGCCGCGAGGTTCAGTTTAAAAGTGGAGGGAGATTTATCAGTCACATCACGTCCGATTCCGCAAAGACGGTGAAATTGTTAACTATGTTTCTTCAGTTTTACTCATCTCTACTTTCGAACACCTGTGGATAGTCCTTTATGATAAGCTTTTATTCTTTTGTGTATGTTTTTTTAAATATGCCATATTTTTGTCTTGTAGATGAAGGCAAAACTTAATCTATTAACAACAACTCATCATTATTTCTAGTTATGTTTACTTTGATGCACAATAAAGCATCCAACACGTAATAATTATTATTTTATCTCTTTGTATGTTTTCCAGAGTGACCAACGGTGGTAAAACCACTCTGACAAACAAACTTATCAAGACTCTGCCCAACTGCTGTGTTGTGCACCAAGATGACTTTTTCAAGGTGAGTTTTAAGTGTTTCATTGTGAAGTTGATGAATTTAGTTTATTTTTTCCTTTCATGGGCATTATGTGTGAGTAGGAGGCCCTGCCTTGAGTAGCCTCCCTTCCCCCACACTTTTGCTTTGATTCATCCTAGCAAAATGTGTTTTCCTTTCTTCTGGCATGCTTTCCTCCAATAACACTGATTATCTTACTCTTACTTGACTAACTAGCTTTGATTTATTCTTTTATTTTAATTTTTTTGCACTTTCCTTTATTTTGTACTTATAACTTTTTGTACTTGTAGATTATTTATTAATCCCTTTTTTATTCTCTGGTTTTATGCTCCTATAATTTGCATACTGATCCTACTGAATTAGTGTTCTCTTTTGCTCTCAACTCACTGCATTAGTCTAAATACTTTTCGCATGCGAGCGAGATCTGCAAGTGTTCAGAGCTGTGAGGTTGCAGCAATGTTTTATTGATGACTGTTATTTCAGAAACCCGATCTAATAGAAGTCGGGGAGGACGGCTTTAGACAATGGGATGGTAAGAATTCACTGAAGACTGCCAGTAACTCGTTTCTCACATTTACATTTTGTATTACAAACCCCATCCTCCTCAGTTGCACTATAGCCACTTATAAAGTAACTTCCCAACTACAAACACATGCCCAGTGCACTGGAGTATTTACTGGTATTTATTTAATCTAGTCTCTTTTCTATTATTCTTTCTCTCTGTCTCACGTGTGTCACACAGTGATCACAGCTTTGGACATGGAGGCGATGACCAACACGATAAAGGGCTGGATAGAGAACCCAGTGAAATTTGCTCGCTCCCATGGCGTCGCCCTGTCTTCCGTTCCTGATGTGGCCATCCCTGATGAGCAGATCCACATCCTGATTGTGGAGGGCTTTCTGCTCTACAACTACCAGTAAGATGGCTTGTTGTCTTGTTTGTACCTGCTGGGAGTCGTGTTGGGGTATTAACATGTTTGGTTCAGTGAGAAAGCATCACCAAAGCTTTTGGGATAGGGTTAAATCAGCCATGCTGGTTTGCGCAAAGTCAGATAAATTCATGACGTCTTGCACTGGAATATCATGACTCATGCTGATTTTGGCACACTCACATGAGATCACATGAACCCCAGCTAGCAGATTTGTGCCGCTCTTGCTGTTGGAGATAACTGCTTCAGGAGAAAGAGGCTCCCTGAGTGGACTTTAAAGTGATGACAGGGGTGTTCATACACCGCGTACTAGTGATGAGTGTTGAGCACTCTGCAGGGATATAGATAAGGGAGCTGTGGTAGCTATATTCTTTTGACTTGAAGAATGCTATGTAACCATATGTCTCCTTTACCTCTCGCCTCTAGACCCTTGCTGGAAGTCTTTGATAAGTGCTTTTACATCTCAATACCATATGAGGAGTGCAAAAGAAGGAGAAGGTGAGCTAAGAAGCATTTTGCACACTTTTTCATAATTTTTTCTATGGCCTAAAAAACAAGTCCTACCGTTATTGTCTTTAGTACGAGGCAGTACACTGTTCCCGACCCTCCCGGTCTGTTTGATGGCCATGTGTGGCCCATGTACCTGAAGCACAGGAAACAGATGGAGGACTGTGGTTTAAGTATAGGTAAGTTCCGGTTGATTGATGAGGAAAATGGACCTCAAAATCTTTAATTGGTGACTTGATTTAAAACTGGAGCTAATTGTAACTGGGTGTGTTGCAGACTACCTGGACGGTTTGAAATCCAAAGAGGACATCTACAACCAGGTGTATGAGGACCTTCAGAACAACCTGCTCAATGGCTTATAGGTTAGGATTGTTATTATTATTATGAATTGAGTTAATATTGTTATACTCAATACATATTTTAGTTTTACATTTTTAACTTTTCTTCTTTCTTTTGCAGCGAATGGAGTCCTTTTCCCACCTGTAAAGACTTTGTAAATACCCTCTATGTTTCTTTTATGTGAAGTTTAACTATTGGTTTGTAAAAATAAACAATGTTAAATTATCTTTTTATTTTTTTAATTTTATCTAATGAATATTTTGGTTTGTTTTCTATACTAAATGATCAGACTGTTTGCATTTTGACATTAAAGCGTTAACTGCTGCAAAGGTGCAGCACATCATACATCCTAGTGTCGTTTCTTTATAGAAATATAAATGTGTTTCTTTTAAGGGAACAAATCAACATCAGAGCTTCTGCAGCACTGGTGGTTTTATTGTGACTCAGTTTTGCTCGTAACAGTTTCCAGCCTGTTCCTCTGACGGGAGCGTTGCTACTAAGTGCTAACCTTTATCCTATTGGGCATGGTCTGCCACTGTGGGGATGGAGGTATTTTTGTTCTTAATCTGATCTCAGAACTGCAGCAGAACATTCTGATGGGACGTGTTGGGCTTCTCATCAACAGGCTGTCCACCACAATTGAAACCAAGAAGAGGACATACAGTGTTCCTCATTAACACCTAATTTATATTCAAATAAGATTTTCTATCCAGTTCTGCTGTTGGGTGGTTTATTGATGAAGTGTCAGAACCTTACATAAAACTTTTACACACGTTCATGAGCATTTTGCATTTCAGGAGGCTCGGGTGTATTAACGACCTTCAGATGTTGGTGATAAAAACTAAACGACCCTGATTTGGATCTGAAGGTTGAGAAAGTGTCTTCTATAAAACTAATTTCCTGTTGAACCTGATATGCACTCCAGTTATAATCCTAATTTAAACTTCATATCTGCATATCCCATATGAACTAAATATTTGACTGCATTTAGAAGTAGGTGCTACTCCTAGTCGTAGTTTCTCATCCTGGGTGTTTCTAAAATGGACCCCGGCTTTCCTCAGGTTGCTGCTTGAGTAGGTCACAGACCATCCTCTAGACTTAGCCCATTAGCACCATTAGACTTAAATACAGCGCCTGCACGTGCTGATGTCACCTCTGTTTCCATATTCTATAAATAGATCAGAATCACTTTTTTTCCCTTAAGGGAATACCTCATGCTGTCACTGAGTAGGACACAAGATCTTTAGTCTAGTCTAAGAAAAGCACATGTCAGGTAAGTGTGTATTTCAATTATACTTTAATGTGGGTAGAAGTTCAATGATGTTGAAAAAGTGGATCTGCTAACGGGATATCCAGAACATTCTGGGTTTGGTTGTAGGTATTCTCGTGTCTGAGTTGACTGTAAACTGATGTCATCTCATCCAAGCTAGGACACGTGAAGCAGAAACGCGGGGACTCCTTCATTTTATCCTTTAGTGGCAGTAAAAGTTTGCTCTTTAGACCAAGTACCGTGTGTCTGTGTTATATGGAGAACAGAGGGACAAGGTGAATGCTGTGACGCTCTAACAGGTGGTTCTGAACTAAACCATGACACTATCCTGTTCTGGTGGTGCTAAAAATGACAGCTGTGTGTGTGTGTGTGACTGCATGGACAAAGCAGAGAAAACAGCTCACCTCAGACACTCCAAAACAAACCTCTCTACCCTGAAAGTGTAAATGTGTTTTTTGTTTTCCTGAACAAACCTGACCTTGTTACTCCACTGCTGAGAGCATGTGACGCAGACTCAACACTGAGGATAGACGTGTTTTGTTTTTACGATCTCGTCTAGTCCCCTGTCCCTATCTGTACCTGCAGAACACCACCGTGTAACTATGGTCGTCTCATCCATAGTTATACATGAAGGACTCGTCCTTTATGAACAAGATGTTGTGCCTGGTTGTTTTTACACCACATGGTGGTAACACAAAACACACATACAGCACAAATGCACATTAGTTTCTTCTGCAATAAACTCCAAAATCTAGTTGTGTTTAATAATTTTTTTTAAATGTTAGTATTTGACATAATCTAAAATGACCTTGTTAGATCCAACATGTGGTTTTGAACCACGTGTGTCATTTCATGGGAGTAATAACACTAATCCAGTCATAGCCAGCATAAGCCAGCTGGACCTCTGCCCTGTAATTATGTCCCACAACCTGCACACATAAACACACAACCTCCTTTATGCTGGTCACAGGCACTCACTGGCTTAGAAACAGATTGTTGAAATAATTACAGGGGTGTGTGTGTGTGTGTGTGTGTGTGTGTGTGTGTGCGCACGCTCAGGCCTGTCAGTCTGCATGTCTGAGCACGCGTGGCTGAGTGTGAAGGAGACTAAAACAAAAGCAGAGGGTGAGACTCCCATACTTCAAGGCTGTCAACAACTTGTGCGAAACATATATCCCAAGGAGATGTTGGAATTTATTTCACCTGGGTTAGTCGGGATAAATACAAAACAGAGTATTCAGGTATTTAAAACTGAAAAGATCAGCTTGTAGTTTTATCAACCTTATACGCTTTTAAAATTAGTCATTTTGTCTAAAAATTTGAGGTTTTAGAAACATTTCAGAGTCGAACAATCCAGACATCCTTTTCTTTTACACGAAATAAATGAAATGCATGCAGGAGTTTTTTTGTTACATAAAACTTATATAGGTGTACATTAAAGACGTCCTTCACTCATATTTTAACACATTTCCAGTGGTCTCTAGCAGGAATGAAGGCCTTGTAAGTCATGCTTTGGGGAAAACAAGCTCTGGTGCGCAAGATGGGTAAGACCATGAACGTTAAAGTGGGAGTATTTCTTTTATCCGATTGCACCATCTAGTGGCTGACAAGCACATCACACAAATACGTTTTCTCCGTCTAGTTTCTCTCAGCCTGCATGAAAAACTCAAGAGTGACAGATCTTTTTCAAAAATAATAAGTAAAAATGGTTTCTCGGTGAGGAAACTCTTTAAACATGAACAATATTCAACAAGATGTAAACCTGAGCCAAACTGGGTTAAATCAGAATCTTCATCATCATTGTAGCAGTGAGGCACTACATTCATCCATTCACACACACACACACTGGTGGTGATGAGCTAAAGCCACAGCTGCCCTGGGGTGCACTGGTGGAGGCAAGGCTGCTCTACACAGGTGCCACCGGTCCCTTCTGGTGAGTCGACCTGCCCAAAGACACATTTGACAGCACAAACCTGGGTTCCAGCTCACCGATTATGATTCAGATTCAGAAAATGTTATTGGTCCCAAAGGGCAATTACTTTGTAGCATATAAACAACAACATGCAAACAAAAATCAATCAATGTCACTAACAACACTACAACAAACGTAAAGGCTCTATAGTGCTGAATATCCATCACAATGGGCCCATTCTCAGGGTCTACATCACACCGAAGTAAATGACGTGATATAAATTTAGACAGACTGTTATCATTTAATGCTCCTAATTGGTCCCGTTTAGGATGGAAACCATGACTGGTGTGTTTAATTTTAGTGCCAAATAACTTATAGAGCGTACAACTGTTTCAAATGTAAATTTGTTTGGTTTAGGATTTCACCTTTTAAACATTACTTCACTTCTGAGTTCTAAACATGAATCTGACCTGACTGTGGCTGCTCATAAAGAACATAAAACACCGACATTTTGGATGAAACTCCTAATTTTCATCATTTAAAGTTAAAAACCACAAAGCAGAGCGCTTCCTGTCCTTGGGAGTCCACTGCCATCATGTGGTAAAGGAGTGAACACCATCACCGAATGTTTGTTTTCCTTTTTACGCAATGTGCCATGAAGTGGACACAATGGAAATGCCAGCATAAGGCTAGATAACGCACGTCTAGACTTCACAAAATTCTAACCTTATTTACAAGGGATCACCCTATTTATGACAATAAACTTTTTGTACATGCCTGTCCTCTTTCTCAACTTGAGGATTTATTTATTTGTTCATTTATTTGAAGATTTATTTGAAGATGATAAAATTCAACCAGAGAAAGGGTCCAACTCTGCCTGATAAAGTCCGAAACCATTCCAAATAGGGAAGACCCCCCCCCCCCCCCCCCCAACACACACACTCACTTCACCCCACCCCCCGAAGGGCTATGCGCAACTGCGTAACGGAGTCGGGTATTCAAAACCATACCCCACCTTCTCCACATGGACAGAACCCCGGTGAGCCATGGACAAGATTAGTTTTTTTATTATTACCCTGCTCGATGTTCTGGTGTCTTTTGGTACCGGTCAGGAAGATTTACGCGCGCGCGTCGGCCCGTGGAAACACCATATTCGGTGGGAGAATAACGGTCAGGTTTATAGTCTGCTCAGCACCGGGTCTCGTTATCTTTTGCCTTCGCAGAACAGAAGACGCACGCAAATGTTACTGACAACAAAAAACATGTTTAACCAAATGGACCAGCCAGTTGCGCTCAGCAGGTCCACCAGAGCCAGGTCTGTGAGCGCCGAGGACGCACCCAGGGATCACTCTGAGCAAAGGGTGGACAGTAAAGTTGATTCCTCGGTTCTGGGTGCTGATGCGGGTCACTACCTGCTTGCATCCGGCCGGCCTGCTGCGCACAGTCGGACCAGCGGTGATGCTGCGGAGCGCCTAACGCACCGGACTGCATCTAACAGCACCTCAGCCGCTTTCCCAGAGTTTTCCGGCAGCGGAGTCCCCAGAGGAGGCCGCAGCATTCCCGGTGAAGTTGGTGCACAACAGCTCAGCCCGGCCCCGCTCAGGGTGCAGGACTTTACGCACACCCGGGTCGGCACGTTAGCGTCTGAGAGCTCGGATTCACCTCCAAGATCTGTCTTGCTCACCCGGACTGTGGACAGCGGGAACCCCAATCAGAGCAGAGCGCAGTCACTGACCAGAATCTCCCCAGAACCAAACCAGCCCCCCACTGCGCTCTCCAACAACGCTGTGGAAATACACGTCCCCAGCAGAATGCCGGAAAATTCAGACGAGAGTGACCCCCAGAATCCGCACAGCATCCACCACAGGAACTCCGTTTTCTATAATATTTACCCAGCAGACCGCAGGAACAGGCAAAACGCACGGAATCCACCCGCAACCGGTTACGGTACCAGGTTCTTCCACAACGGTGAGAGATGAGCAGACTGAAGTCAGGGTGAAAGACACAAAGACCGTTGCAATACTATAACCAAAAGTTTGTTTATTTAAGTTATTTGGTTCTTATTGTTCATTTTGTTGCATTTTTCTAAATTCCTCATAATTGTTTCCAACATGTCCTGACTGATGAATCTTCAGCAGGTGCAAAATGCATGCACATCAACAAAACCTTCACATCACATCACATGGGTTTCATTTATTCACATTTGCCTACAGGTCTCCCAGATCTGATACCTGACCCTTACTACATCCAGGCTGCCTCCTACATCCAGAGGGTTCAGATGTATGCACTCCGCTGTGCTGCAGAGGAAAACTGCCTTTCCAGGTGATGCTTTAGTATGCAAAATATCAATCTGGAAGAGATGCATGTCCGAAAACAGCTCAAAACTGTTGTTTTCATCAACATGCATTTTAGGAACGTTTAATTGCATTCAGATATGGGTATTAGGTGCAATCTTTAGCTGAGTGACAGCAGCTGCACAAACCTGGAAACTGTTGAAGAATGTTCTCCTTTGATTGAAGAATCTTATAGGCCAAGTCAAATAAACCCTGGGGAAACAAACAAGGAACTTCAAAGCTGGAAGCAAATTCCATGCACGACAGAGTTGTGTGAAGATGAGGCGGTTACAGATCTGCACACTGCAGTGGCTGTCTGAGGACACAGAGGTAACTTTGGCTTAGTGTCCTGTTTCCTTGGCTTTCAGGTCTGCCTATCATCCAAGTGTGAGTGACCTGGACTACCGTGTTTTGCTGCGGTTTCCACAGCGAGTCAAGAACCAGGGAACAGCAGACTTCCTCCCAATCAAACCCAGATCCGAGTGGGAATGGCACAGCTGTCACCAGTGAGTTTATCATCGGAATAAGCTCACATTTATATCATTTTTGCTGCAAGACGAAGTGTATATTTTAGAGTTATTTGCTCGTTTTTGATAGCTTGTTTTATTTAGAAGAATTCACCGTGTTTGAGATTCACAACGTTTGCTTGAAAAAGAAGAAAAATAGAAATAAAGCAAATAATAATTCCAGTTTAGAAGTGAAATGTGCGGATAAACAGCCGTTACACGCTGAATATTAAAAGTGAAACAGATTTTACTGGAGAATAACTTTAGATTTGCTGTATCACAAACAAATGTGGCTTCTATTATTGTTCTTTGATGAAAGTGGTGTGTGTGTGTGTGTGTGTGTGTGTGTGTGTGTGTGTGTGTGTGTGTGTGTGTGTGTGTGTGTGTGTGTGTGTGTGTGTGTGTGTGTGTGTGTGTGTGTGTGTGTGTGTGTGTGTGTGTGTGTGTGTGTGTGTGTGTGTGTGTTTACACATTTCCAGACATTACCACAGTATGGAGGCCTTCAGTAACTATGACCTGCTGGACGTCTCCACTGGACAGAAGGTTGCTGAGGGACACAAAGCCAGCTTCTGTCTCGAGGACACGTCATGTGACCCAGGGGTACGGAGACGCTTTGCCTGCACTGCTCACACACAGGTCAGTCTCGTTGACTCATTTGTTTTTGTTTTCATCTGGTGAAATTAGTTTATGTTGGACTTTTACATTCATCCTGAACAGAAAATGTAAATCAACCAGTTATGTTGACTAAAGGATGGGTTTGGGTTGTGTTTAGGGGCTTGGTCCTGGTTGCTATGACACCTACCACGCCAACATCGACTGCCAGTGGATCGACATCACTGATGTGCCGCCTGGAGACTACATACTTAAGGTAGCTCTAAAGAAAGAGTTGTTATTGCTATATGTGTTTTTGTTTGACTGGTCTGTTTCCCAGGTGACAGTAAATCCCTCTCAGCTGGTCCAGGAATCCGATTTCTCCAACAATGAGTTAAGGTGTGACGTCAGGTATACAGGAAGCTTCGTCCAGGCAAGAAACTGCAGGATCGTTGTGTAAGTCAGCACATGCTGTTTTTATTTAATAAATAAAAAAAACATGAATATTAATCAGAGATGTTTATTCTAGGAGCTGACCTGAAGAAGACCGACACGTTCACACTCAGATGTGTTGCTCCTGATGTAAAGCTGCTGCTCTGTTCTTATGCCATCTCACTGTTAGCTTTACAAATTAATCTTTGTATTTATGTCATTTTGTAGTAAAAAAAGCCTTGTGTTAATTTTCTTTATTTATGTGAAGAATCATCCAGTCTCTGTGCAATAGGAAAGTGTTCTGAAGATTTATTCATGAAGAAGAAAATGGTGCTCGTTTTCCCTTTGATATAAAATGTATTTTAAGTTTAAATTCGTTTGATAACAAATACATGTATGATAAAGTTGAATAATGTGGATTTTTTTGTGTAAAACACCAAACTGTGCATTTAATTTGTTGATTTTGATTAAATCTGTAGTCTTTTAAACACTAACAGAGCTTACTTGTTAGATAAATATTCTGGATTTGCATTGAATTTTATAATAAATTGTATTTAGATTTTAAAACCTGAAGTACGACTGCCTTGTGTTAAAGCCTGGGTAATGATCACGGCTGCTGATGGGATAATTTGTGTAAATTTCCAACTACGTGAGGACACACAGTGCTCATAGGAGGAGTTTAGTGGCTGGTTTTGTTTGACTGCTTCTGGACTAACAACCCTCTGAGAAATACCTGTAATTATTCCACTTTGCACAGAAACAGCAGGAAGATAAATAGTGCATCACACCGTGAGCCTGTTTATGTTTGTCTGTCGTGTCGCAGCAGGTGAGTGATTGGGAAAACATTTATTTACTTGGCAAAAATTCCTCAGGAGACGTCTGAGATGCCATGATGTGTTTACACATTCTTGTGGGGTTTAGAAGTCTAGCTGTCCTGTAGAAATGCAGTTATATTTACAGAAAACACACGACTTCCAAAACGATAGCTGCTATTTTTAATTATTTTTACTGATACAAACAGCCTCGTGTACCAAACCCCCTTCACTCGTATTCTTGCCCAAACATTTCCTCTCTGGTGAGCCCACTCCGTGTGAGAGTCCAGTAGGGGTGAGCTGCTGATGTGAGTCTGCATGCGATGGAGGGTCAGGACACATCCTTCTCCTTTTCCACAGTTACGGGTTCGTTTTGCTCTGGGCAGGTCGAAGTGTTGAGCCTGCAGGGCGAGCACGAGCAGGATGGGCAGAGTGGCTGGAGATGGCAAGGAGGAGAGAAATTCCACAGAGCTGTTGATGGCCAGGAAAACCCAAATGCAATCCGCTGACATCAGCAGGTCCTAGACGGAGCTTTTCTTATCGTGGGCTGATCGTCTGAGAGACTGCACCCAAAAGAACTGAATGTCTGAGACTTCAGGTCAACAGGAGGCAGAGTCAACAGGCTGAACATGAAAATAGTCTCCTACACCTATCCCCTGCATTAGCGATAGAAAATAGACAGCGAAACCCAAGATTTTGGAAATCCTGACTGATCCATGTCACATTGTCATTTAACATTCATGGACTCACCCAACTTGACTTATGACGAGGAAGGCTGTTGTTGGTTTAGCGTCCAGGAAACAGCAGAGATTGTCTCAGCTCGTAGAATCTAACCATTAGCATTAGCATCCCCACCACATGACAGACTTCTTCAGACTTGTGTTATTTGTGGAAATAAAACATCAGCGTTGCAAAGCAGAGTCAGTGGTAGAGTCGCATTGCTATGCAGAGACGAGATGTCCAAATATCAGGAAATAAAACTCCAAATTCTGGGAGTTTATTAATGGCAAGGAACCTCGCCTTGATGCTTTGGTCCCACCCTGGTTGCCTAGGAGATGCCCCATCAGGAAGAGCCAAGACGTGTTCCAATGTTCATAATGTGTGGCGGCCTTCTTGGCCAGGGCACCTTTGCAAAAGAGACTTGTTCTCAAAGGATTTCCCAGGTTAAATAAGGGTTAAATAAAATAAATAAATAAATAAATAAAAATGCTACAGAGGAATCTGTCCTCTGTTTGCCATTTAGCTAACTAACCAAGGACACATGGGAAGTGCCTTGTTGTCTTCTCTTGATCAAAAATTTCCCAGAATACAGCGCAGTATTTTCAAAATGATGGTGGATCAGCAGCCAGCAGCTACTTTGGGGCAAACTTCTAGTTTGATTGTGAGCCAACTAATTGTAGCTTTCTCGCTGATATCTACAATGTTTTTTAGATCCAAAGCAGTAGTCTATGGTTGGTTTGTTGCTTAGTAGCTGCAGCTTCTGTGGCTAGCAGGTACTGACATACTTACTTATTTAATTTAACCAATATATACACATTTACAAATGTAAAAGCCTCATTATACATCTATATTTCAATCTATATGTCTAAAATATAACATTATCTCACATGTCACATGATTGAGGTAAGTCTGTTCCATTTAACCGTTTTCTTTGACCATTCATTCCTACTAAAGACCACTTCAGATGAATTGATTAAATGGGTGAACCACATCTTTAAGTCAATATTGAAGCTTAATTTTATGTTTGAATAGATGCTGTATTCAAAAATTCCCCCTGAAGCTGGATTGTTGTCTGCTTGTTTGACAGCTGTCATTAAATGTGTCAAAAATATAAGATGAACAGCCTAATTCTGATTGACTGCTGGATCCTGCCTTGGTGGCAGAGCTGTGTGTGTGTGTGTGTGTGTGTGTGTGTGTGTGTGTGTGTGTGTGTGTGTGTGTGTGTGTGTGTGTGTGTGTGTCAGCTTGATTAATGAGTTACTGTAACAAATTTATGAGGCATGAGAATGGAGATTAAATCATGGCACCATTTTAGGAACATACACAACCAGATGCTTACTGGCACCAATCTGCCTGTCGATCTCACGCTCCATCTTTCCCTCACCCGTGAAGAAGACCCTGAGATTCTACAAAGTGTTTCAGGGTCAATACGTTGGTATTTTTATAATATGACCACTTATTACAAACTCACAGTCATGCACTCGCATTTATCACTGAGGTGATGGCATTTTGCAGAAAATACATAGTACATCAAATACCATAAACTATAACACACAATACGCTAAAGATCCAGGGCTTTACACATGTTGCAGTCAGGACACTGGACACAGGACAAAACCGAAAGTCTCCATCGAGGACAGAGCTCCATTTAAAGGAACACTAGGTAGTTTTGGCTTGCAGCACCCCCTAGTGTCAATTTAGTAGGACCAAAAGCACAATTTATCTCCTTATTGTGCATTTATCTTTTTATCACCTTAATCTAACAGCTGAAATGTATTCCTAACCTTCCTAAGTGTCTACATGAGTGATTCATCATTGAATTAAACAAATCAGATGTGTTCATGACCTAAAACATGCAGGAAATTCCAATTCTCGCACTGCTCTGGGTGGCTGCATATTGGAGTAGCTCTGTTAACTACATGTAAATTTTGCCTTTTTGGACATTTTTTCTTCTAGCGTCCTAAGAAAAACTGTATTATTTGGACCTTTAACTTTTCTGTTTCTGGTGCTGTGAAGCTTGGAGGATTTTTACTGCTATTTTTTCACTTTTTGAGCATGTGTTATGATGCGTAACCATGGCAACAAGCTGGTTTACAATCGGGAGCAGCTGATTAACATTGGAAAGGCTGAAATAATACCTCAACTGAAGCCACAAATCCCAAATGAGCTAAAACGCAAGAAGCGTGGATGCAGAGCAGGCGCAAAACGGAAACAAAGAAAGAGGAAATTCAAACCATCTCTTCCATCGATCATAATGGGCAATGTGAGATCACTGGCCAACAAGATGGATGAACTCCAAGCCCTTTCAAGGACTCAGCCAGAGTATCAGCAGTTCAGTGTTATGAGTTTCACTGAGACGTGGCTGCAGGACCATATCCCCGATTCCAGCGTCTCTCTGTCAGGATTCCTGACTGTACGAGCAGACAGAGATCTGAAGAGGAGCGGAAAAAGAAAAGGAGGTGGAGTGGCAGTGCTTGTCAACAACAGATGGTGCCATCCATGTCATGTTTCAGTGAAATGTCGTCTTTGCAGCCCAGATTTTGAACTCTTGAAAGTAAGTTGTCGCCCATATTATTTGCCAAGAGAGTTCACCAGTGTTGTCTTGGCAACCATTTACATTCCACCTTCAGCCATTGCTGAAAATGCATGTGAAGCCATCAGTTCCGTTGTAGCTAAGCTACAAACCCAGCACCTCAATGCATTTGTGGCTATATCTGGTGATTTTAATCATGCCTCGCTCTCTGCTACACTTCCAACATTTCAACAGTTTGTCAGCTGCTCCACCAGAGAAAACAAGACATTGGATTTGTGTTATGCAAATGTAAAGAATTCAATTCAATTCAATTCAAAAATACTTTATTAATCCCAGAGGGAAATTGATTACTCCAACATGCAGCAACCCAGAGCAGCGCAGTTCCGGAATCGGAAACAAGACCTCCTCTGGGACAATCAGATCACAATCTTGTTTTTCTCTGCTCAGAATACAAACCACTTGTTCAGAGGCAACCTGTGACAAGAAGAACTGTGAGAAAATGGTCACAGGATGCTGAAGAAGCCCTGCAGGGTTGTTTTGAGACCACAGATTGAATGACCCTGCCAAGGATATGAAGAGGACATCAATGACATGACTGGGTGTGTCACTGACTACCGTATTTTCCAGACTATAAGTCACACTTTTTTTCATAGTCAGGCTGGTCCTGTGATTTATACTCCAGAGCGACTTATATACCAAATTATGTAGGCTATACCGCGCTGCTGCGGGCTGGCTCCGGACCAGGAATGAGCTCCCCTGCCCCACTGGGAATAAAAAACACGCAGCCATCACCTGCTGGAGCTTGTGGCGCATTGTTACGCACCTGATCCGGCCCAGGAGTGAGCTCCCCTGACCCGCAGGGAACTAAAACACACAGCCATCACCTGCTGGAGACTGTGGCGCGCAGCTGCGGGCTGGATCCAACCCAGGTTTCAGCTCACCTGCCCCGCAGGGAATTAAAAACACACAGCCATCACCTGCCGGAGCCTGTTGCGTGCCGCTGTGCACTGGATCCGGCCCAGATTTCAGCTCCTCTGCCCCGCCATCACCTGCTGCAGCCTGTGGCGCACTGCTGCGGGCCGGCTCCGACCAAGGAATGAGCTCCCCTATCCCGCTGGGAGGGTTTCAAACACCGCCATCCTCTGCTGGAGACCGTGGCGTGCTGCTGCGCCAGCATTGTTTATTCTGTTATTGTTACCAGTACTTGTCTTGCAATTTGAAACGCTTGGTCTCAGATTTTGTAAGAAAAATAATAAAATTTTCCCCCAAAATGCGACTTATTGTCCAATGCGACTTATATATGTTTTTTTCTTCTTCATTATACATTTTATGGCTGGTGCGACTTATACTTCGGAGCGACTTATAGTCCGGAAACTACGGTATATAAACTTCTGTGTGGACAACATCATACCCACCAGAACAGTGAGATGCTTTGCTAATAACAAACCCTGGATCACCAGTGAACTGAAGAATCTTCTAAATGAGAAAAAAGAGCCTTCAAGGAGGGAGACAGGGAATTATTGAGGAGTATACAGAAGCAGCTGAAGATCAAGGTCAGAGACAGCAAGGAGGCATACAGGAAGAAGCTGGAGAACAAACTACAGAGGAACAATATTAGAGATGTCTGGTCAGGGATGAAGAAGGTCACAGGCTTCAAGCAGAGGAAGGATTGCACAGATGGCAGCCTGGACACAGCCAATGAACTGAACAAGTTCTTCAATAGGTTCA